AAAAAAAAAAAAAAAAAAAAAAAAAAAAAAAAAAAAAAAAAAAAAAAAAAAAAAAAAAAAAAAAAAAAAAAAAAAAAAAAAAAAAAACAAAAAACAAAACAAAAAAAAAAAAAAAAAAAAAAAAAAAAAAAAAAAAAAAAAAAAAAAAAAAAAAAAAAAAAAAAAAAAAAAAAACAAGTAACAAGGCATAATTGATGTTGCACGATCCAGAAATAGATTTCATTAAATATCTGATATACTCCTCAAGCATACCTACTAGGTCTAAAGAAAAATGAAAGGAGTGATTGCATACTTGTGTCGGTCAGCTACCATTCAGCATATTTGCGAACTTGCAGGAGATTTTGCCATTGTGTTTGATTGCGTTAAAGATGAGTCAAAAGTCCTGAGAAGCATGAAGACTGTATTTCGCTCGAAAAACACGGGCCTGCATTCCGACGCACTCTCTCTTGCTTGCATCCGGTCAAGGGCAGCGCACAGCACTACCCCACGCACTCTCTCTCTCTCTCTCTCTATATTTTGTTTATATGTACAACTGTTTTAAGAGAATTTGTCTAAGAGAGAATCAGATACTATCCGGTTCACCTTCGGCTCCGTATTATGCGCCATGAATCTTTCAATTCCGCCCTGTTTCTAGGATTATTCCTACGGACGACACGAAATTTTTCTCACCACGTAAAGCGAACTTTACTTACCCTCCAGAAGCTTATGACCGAAGCATCGCGGACTGTTTTATGAAACATCTTGGTAGATGCGAAGGCGAGGCAAGATCATCACCTGAGCAAGAAAAGAGTTTCTCACCAGAAGCGGCCGCAACTTGCAAGAATATCTGGTCAATTGCCAATTGCATGCTTGAGCTTGAAGCCGAGGCCGCCACCAGCACAAGCACCAGCAGAACGACGACTGCCAGCAAACTCGTCCTGCGCATCAAGGATGAACGTAGCGCTTTCGGCATTTGGCTGTCAGGCTTCGAGTCCTTGTAAGCGCCGAACCTCATTGAATATGACAAGGCCCATCTATGAATATTGAGATTTCAAGCTGAAGAAGGGAGCCTTCTTCGCGACGATTCTGGCTTTCCGACACCCTGGCAGCATGTCTGACTTCCACAGGCCGATGCACACTGAAAGTAAATGCACATCTGGTGGTTCGTCTCGACCGTACTCCTGCCTGTCACGCCGTTCTGTGCTTAGTCTGGTACTGAACAGTTACATATGCAGACTTAAACTTACTGTAGAAGCCTGAAAGTTGGAAACCCGATATCCTCAATCCTTATAAGAGTGATGTATAGGGATTCCCAGCACGAGTTGTCCTCAATTTGGTTTGAAAACCTTTGGGGGTGTACTATCCACGAACCATACCAGGTCTATACAGTGCACGACATGCACAGGGACATGTTAGCCGGTGTACAGCGTACGTAATTATGCATGTATGCCATGTGTGTTTATGCAAATCTTGATACCTTGCTCTGAATCTTTTCTATCCATGCACCAACACATGTCTGTACAGATAGAAGATAGAAGACAAACTGATAGATCGATCGATAGATAGATGGAATGTACTACCCCTACACGTCGCACACTCTGTCATCTGAATTCACCATGTGTGCCTCCAGACTTGCAGCGGCGATTCAGCTACGGGATACGGCCGCCTGCTGCCAACCAATATCCTCAGCTGGCGGATTACTAGACTCTCTTGAGAAGTCACGGTCTGAAACCCAAAACGGTACCCCCGGACCTGGGCTCCGCCCACGCGACATTTGCCCAAACTTACATCCATGGCCTAATGCCTTGTGGGCTCACAGCATCCACAACCATTATGACGTGCATGGTCTCACGCATTGTGAGTTCGCAGCTCTTAGGGCTTGAAAAGATAGCTAGCTACCTCTTCGGTGGCATATCAAACCGTTTACAGAGACGCTGTGCCGTTCCTTCTTCAAGGCAGGTGCACCGGGGAACAACACAAAATAGGGCCAAGCGCGTTGGCTGGCCCTGCCGGCATTTCCCACACTTCCTTTCTGGGCATGCTGAAAAACATAAAAAATCCTGCTTGCTCTCTGGGAATTGTGCTTTTGTGATGAACTTCGCTCAGACGCCGAACCACGATTAACTGCACCTGCCGTGTCCTGCGACGCTTTGCCACACGTATGTCTCGGCAAACTTCGTGGACCCACCCTAGACCTAGCAAGCCTCGTTTCTCCGGTTTACCGTGGACGTCGCTTTGCAAACTGCGTCCCCGACTCTGAGAAGCCACAGGCTGCACGGCTTCTCCAGTTGTAGAGACCTCGTCGCGTGGGCAAAGGCATCCAGCTCAGGCACAGTGCCCTTGAGGTCAAAGGCCGATGTATCGTGGCTCCAGGTCTACCTCTTCCAAGGCAGAAAGGGAAGAATACTTGATAGCATTTTTGCAGTTTCCAGGCTGCAACGCCTGCCTGAAAATGAATGTCTCTGAGGACACAGGTCCCATCGATGAAGAGCTCCAGAAGACCCCGTTCCCTTCGACAGCATGTCAATGCGCACAGTTCATGTGCCCTAGTTCTAGGTTTGCAGGGCTTAGGTGCGAGCCAATCAAGGTGCACAGCAACCTCATATGGAACGCCGGCACGGATCTGGTCCTTCAAAGCATTCTCAAGCCCCTGCCGTGCTGAGGACACAAACCTTCGACTATCAGATAGAGTGTGCCTTCTCAAGCTGCAAAACATGCAGGTCGCCGGTCACTGGCTGCGTCTGCAAAGCAAAGCAGCGCTTGCCCTGGCGGAAGATGGAAAGTTCTCTGTTGGATAACTACGCCACCGTGGGATCATCGCTGAATGCATGCGAGCTTGACGGTTTGCATGTCGTCCCCTCTGTAGTTGAAGATGAAGACCAAGGGCTGAAGGCCCCATGTTCTTCTGTCCGCTGACCTTCCGAGTGATTAAGCCAGGAGAAGTCCCGACTTCAAGCTGCCGTTTTGAGAGAACGGCAGTGCAAAGAATCCACAGGAAAATTCGAGCGTTTGCAAGCACAGCCGGAATGATACCTGCCATGCCAAAATGCCGAGAGATCCGAAACTTAACTCGTCAGGCTCGTCTCATCCGCATGCCCGAAACTTCACAACGATTGAGAGCGCCGCACCCATTTGGGCTTGGGTCGTGGGCTTGCGAAGTTGCAGTACAAGCCCTGGAACCTGGAGGCACTGGAGGCCAGACCAGCCGAAGCATGTCTTGGCGGTTGCGGGAGCTTGGCAGCCGACCCCAACCAGTCGGTGCCTTGCTCCAGAAAAATCCTGGAGGAGTGGAGAAAGTCTGAGCCGTCTGAGTGCTTTTGAAACAAGCTGTGGGGCTTGCCAAGCGCCACCATCTCCAGGCACGCAGCCTGTCACTGGCTGCGACTCGCTCCAGTGATGCGTCAAAGCTTCAGAAAACGCAGCCTTCTTTGGCGACGTTGTAAGGCTTCCTGCAGCAACGTGCCCAAAACAGCGAACAAAACCAGCAAAGTCCAAAGACAAGTGCTGCACCCAACAGCAAGCCGAAGCACGACGCTGAGGGCCAGGCGAAGTGTTGGGCCCGGCGTTCCACTGTCGCGTGTCCCGCATCCAATCACGAAACACCGCCGCCTGGAGAAAGCTCAATGCACGTTGTACACATTGGTACACATTTTGTAAACAAGCGTCAGCTTTATCCAACATTCTGCTTCTACTATTTCTATTGTAAGCAAGATGGTGTCAGCAAATAGAATATGACACAAGAGCCTCGCTGGCAGACGCTGTTTGGAGCTGCAGCCTTGGTCAACTCAGGAGTATGTGGTGTTTAGCTCACCTTGAAAGTCATGACGACCTTTAACATCAACTAAGATCACCGCCCTGGTCGACATCGAGCTGCCAACAAACGCGGGATTACCTCTCAACAGCTTTCACCGTTCGAAACCTGTTGCCACCCTGCTGTCCGAACAAGACGGCCTCTTTGGCGAAAGCCTCACGATGTGGGGACTCCAGAAACACAGGAAACACGTACATGCAGAGAAGTCCCGCCGTCCCGCCTGCATGTTTCTGCAAGCAGAAGTCGCCCGTGCAATCTGCCAACGTACGCTGCTTGTCAAGCACTTTCTATGCTGGCCAGGCAGACACTTCTGCAAAACCTGATCTTTGAACTGCAGCTGCTACGGCGCCTCTAGTGCCGGCAGCATTTCGCAAACTCGTTCCAGCAAGCCGTGCTCGATCAAGCTGTCGAGTCCCCTGAAAGACTGCGGCTGAGATTCAAGACAGTCAAGTTTGCAAACCCAGCACAACAGGACGGTTTCGGCGTCCTTATGCTCACAAGCTCCAGCGCCTAAGTGGATTAGAGGCGTAGGACCGCCCAGCAGGCCAAGTAATGGAGCTGAGGGCATGGCCAGTGGACGCACATCCTGTGCTCCAGCGGATTGCCCTCCATGACGCCGGCGCCTTGGGCTTGACATTGTGGAACTCCCTGCAGGCACTGTACATGATGTGTCATAATTATTCCTGAGCCTCGGACATGTCACCACAGGCAGAGGGTAGGGTAGACTTGCTCCATGGTTGCGATGAAAGACTTGGAAGGGGACTTGGAGAAAGCTGATCAAAGCTGAGGGTTGAGGCGTTCCATTGCTCACCTGTTCCGACGGCCTGACCACATGTGGAGCAAGTTGTTCAAGGAGTGCTGAGGGGTGAAATGCCGCATGGCTGCGTTGTTGCTCTTGCCAAGCTCGGGAGCCGAAGCTTCACACATCAAATCGAGGGCATCACAACTCCTCAACGACTGCCGAATCGCCAGTCCGAAACAGTGTGCAAAGCTCGCGCATGCAGGAGACATTTTCAGAACACTGACTTCCTGATATGTGACAGCCTAAAGAGGCTTGGTGCTGCACGTGCTGGCGGCTCATCCCTCGTGCTTGGTCACAGTCGCCTTCTCCGTCCACCAGACGTGTGATATTGTGCGATGCTTCCCTAGACCTGCAAGACCTTGCCGTTGCAGTGCTCGGAGGTCGAGTTGTGGCAGCGCTGCTCCTGCACCCTGGGGTGTCGCGCCACTGAGCTTGCTCTGCGTGGCTGGGGTACGGCTGCCCTATGGCTGCCTTTTCTGACAGCTCTGGCTCTCGACCATGCACACTCCACCTTCAATTGTGGCGTTCAGGAGCAGCATGCCGCGTGGCTTCTTTCTGCCGTGTGCCCGATGGCTCTCTCCGAGGACACACCTGCTCGGTGCCTAGTATGCAAGGAGGTTGATCTTCACCGGCAACAGCACTGCCGTGGGACCCGCATCTTTCTTCACTCAGTCTTCGGCACCTTGGAAAGTGCACTTGGTCAGGCACTACCAAGCCACTACCAAATGTTGTCGGACAGAAAACAAACGAGTACAAGCTCTGCAGGTGCAGCCTCGCAGGTGCCCACGACAGAGGCTTCTCCTTTCCCGAAGTGTAGGTTGTCCTGGCTCTTGCTGCCGGGAGCTTTCTGAGACCCAAACTGCACAAGAATGGCACTCTCTCAAAACTAGGCCGGACTGACATCGAAGAAGCCGCCTGGTGCCTTGAAAACGCTATCGCTGTTACTTTCCACTGGTCCCCCGGCCACTTTCGTGAACTGAGTTCTGTTCCACGCAGTGGGTGTGAGCGTCCAGGTGGTGGATGGCCTGGGAGACTGGGAGAGAGGACGTTGGCGAAGCTTCGGCCGAGGCAATGAACCCAAGACAGGGACCAGTATCAGCGATTGATTGCAGAAGGCCTGAACATGTGAGCAGGCCAGGGAGGCATTGAGGAGAGCAAACAGCAAGCTCCGATGTACACATGCAATGAAAGCCAGCAAAGCGCCCATACGGTATACAGCGGAGCAAAGCGCAAGGTAAGTGGAGTGTGAAGAGCTGATGTTGAGATTTGGCGTGTCGGCCCCCCGAAAGCCAAGCTAGTAACAGCATGCCAAGCCGTACAATTCCCAGGCCTTCAACTTCCTTTGAACCAAGACTTTGGACTGCGCGTCCAGGGGTCCCAGCGCCTCCCGAATCGAATCGAGGATGCTCTCTGGTTCGTCTCTGCAAAGCCCGAAGGCCCTTTCCCCTGCCTCATCGATGAGCAGGATTTGGGGGCATTGTTGCTGAAGAAAGATCTGTCTGACAAGTTCTGCCTGTGGCATAAGGCGCTTGTACTCCACTCTACACGGACCATAGCACGCCAAGCCTTGGATCGCTGACCACCAGAGAGTTTTCCGTACCAGTCATCCTTGACAGCCTTTCCAAGTGAGCACGATCCGACAGCTTTTGGTCGAGGATCCAGACTGCTTGGTGCTGCACTCGAAGCTCGATCGGGCTGTCAGCCGCAGATGCCTGGACGAGCAAGGCAGATTCGGACTCGGACAGGACCAGCCAGCCGCAGACTGAGAGACCGGCTGAAGGACGAAAGTCCAGTTCGGCGAAAAAATGCTGAACCTGCCGGTGGTCTGCTTGGCACATCTTGGTACCGACTTTGCAACCGACACATCTGAGGACAGTGCTTGTGCTTCAAGGCTTTCTAAATCCTTGCCAAGTCCATTCGGCCCAACAGCAACATGTTTCCACCAGATACTGCACGTACTGCCCACAGGTTGCCTCCGCTCTCATTGCCTTGAGCGAATGATGCCTCAAGCAATGAGGTACTCTCAACCGGTGCCCTTCCCTCCTTTCTCTGCTCCTGAACATACATCTGCTCAGGCGAGCTCCCGAACATCCAGGCCAAGGGCTCAGTGAACAAAGGACCTCACTGTGAGGTCACATACCCGAGTTCGCCGTGTTACAGACTAGGGTTCGAACAGTACAGTTTCTGTGGTATCTCTGCAATTTCGTCCTGTGGATGGAGGCTGTCTGCGACGAAATTGATCTCAGCAAAGAGGCATCTCAGACTGTGCAGCAGTCCGACGGCAGGCTCACCCCAGCCAGAAAGGAGTTCTCCTTGGCAGCTTGGGCCCCTGGGGGCTGCTAAGCTCTCAGGTTGGCCGTCACGCCAGCTCAGTCAGACCGTCAGACCTGCGGCTCTTAAGTCAATTCTGTTACCTTCTAGTTACTCTAGTTGGCTTAGGAGAGCAGTTCGAAATGCACAGCTTCGTCTTCTTGCTTCACGGCCGTTTTTGTAGGGCTGTAGGGTCCTACGACCATCCAGCACAACCTCCGTGCTTCTCCCAAGTCGAACGACGACACTTCGAGTCTGAGGCTGCGGCAAAGTCCAGTTGATCGATGCCAGCGGGGAGTTCTGGCTGATGCTTGCCTTCAGAATTGCAGATTCTACTTTTCGGGCTTGGGGCACCTGCTTCCCTGCCCGGCACATGTGCTCAGGTCGTGACCACATGCAGATAGCAGCCCAAAAAGTGTGCTCTTGCCGCACCCGTTGCATCCTTCACAAGCATAGCCGTGAGACAGACACATGCCGCACACAGCATTCCTGCTACAGTAACTGCCAACCCTTTTCCCTCCTGTTGCACGCACACACGTGCGCATGCATCGCAATGGCTTTTTATCCCGGTCAGATGGGGTCGTGAAAGCTCGTCTCCGGCACTTCTTCCACCTGCTCCGAGTCGATTCGTGGCAGCAGAAGATGCGCTTGCGTCCCGTACCCTGGGTATGAAGTCAGCGACAGATTTCCTCCAAGGTATCTCGCGTAGAGTCGGGCACAGGGAAGCCCAACCCCATATCCGGAGAGCGAGTCCTCCTCGTCGATATTCAGGCTACTGCTGCCCTGTTTAGCAGCAGTACCGTACATGTACGACCAAATTCGATCACCCACCTGGGAGGGCAAATCGTACAAAACACAAGCGGGAAAGACGACGGAAGCCCCACAGAGCTTAGATATCTCTATCACCATGCCTTCATGACCCCACAACCACAGCTCTAACCTTGCAGCACACTGCCATGAAGCAAATCCGGACCCACCTCAAAGGGAATTCCACCTGCTTCATCGCTCACCAGGATTGCAACCCGATGCTCGTCACGACAAACTCGAATACGAACTGGGCGCTTGCTGATGTCGTCAACACTCGAAGATGTCATGAGCGTTGCTCGGAAGCTGTTCTTCAGAAGCTCGCACATGATATATCTCAGATAGCTGGGAATGTAGCTAAAGAGGCAGGGCTTCGCTTGTGGCCCCATCTCTCCGGCCTGCGATGCGATGCGACGCAGACGAGAGCACACTGAGCCAGGCGTCCCCCGGGCCTTGAAGTCCTCCACTGTGTACTTCGGCTCGTGGCCGAAGCGCTGGTAGCATAGGTAGGCTGACATCTGCGCAGCATGCTCGCAAACCTTCGAGGCATTGCAGCCTCCCAGAGCAAGGCGCAGTCGTGGCACGTCTAGAATCTACATTCTGCGCCCGGGTCTGACAGAATGGCAGCTGAGGTCCCTGCGAGGGTCTGTGATGCCGGTCGGACGGCCCAAGCCTCCGTCCTGCTTGCTGGCGATAGCCACGAACTGGTCGAAAAGGGCATTCGTGCCAATCCTCGGACTGTGTGTTCTACCTCGCTCTGCCAATGCTCCCAAGCTTTGTTGCAGCAGTGCCGTAGGGAGCCCAAAAATATTGACAAGACCTGCCTCAAGTTTGAATCGAAGCTCCTGGAAAGCAGGAAGCCGTCCAACCATCGATCCAAGAACTTAGTGTCTTGCTGCCTCATCTTGTGCAGCTTGTAGATGCCAGATGCTGAGACACCAATGACGTCGCGGCCTTCGTCCCGTATGGCTTTCAGTGTCTTGATGAGGTGCTTGGAATCCTGCGTGCTGTAATTCAGCAACACCAATTCCCGGTACCACCTCGTTAATCTTTGATGGAGCTTCGCTAGCTCGGGGATCTCCTGCACTGACAGTGCAGCTTCTTCGTCTACGTGACAGGACCGAAGCAAGGAAGCCCAGGGTGGCAAACCCTCAGTAAATACTTTACCATGCCAGCATAAATGAGACCCCGGTCCCCTAAGCACTCGGGATTTCAGGAGCACGTCCAAAAAAAGATTCCTCCAAGTGTTGGCGCATTCGGGAGCGCGTTCAAGATGCTTCCCGCCATCTACGGGCGGACTCAGGAACACTGTCAAAATGTTTCCCAAACATACAAACATATTGACGGTTTTTCGGAGATTCGATGCCAAAAAATAAATGCACTGGAATTTGCAATGAATCTGGCTCCAACCTTCCGCGGGGCCCCCTGCGCGGCCGCCCTAGCCAATTCCCTTTTGCCGTGAACGCTGGAATGCCATTGTGTGCAAGACACTATTTAGGGAAGCAATCTAAACCCAAAAGGCATACTCGTCTGTGAGCGCTCCTGCCAGCCCTCCAAGGTCTCGATCAGCCGAATCCGGAGTGCGAACCGTTTTGGAATCTCCGTCTGGATGAAGGGCACCATGTCCCGGGTATCACACCAGGTCACGATCTGCACATCAACCGCAGGTGCTAACAAAGCGGTCAGAGGTTCCCACAGGACCCCTATTTCCCCTCCTCTTGATCCACCCCCCCTCCCGCCCCCGCTCATCCCTCCCTGAACACCTCGGAGCATGTGAGGACCTTCATTGGTCGCCCTAGAGTCTTATAGCATTCCGGCCGCCCCCAAACCTTCCGACGCCCAACCTGCTCAGCCTCCTTGTCATCACTAGCCACTGTCTGCCGCTTGTTTTCGCTTGCACCGGTGCGCCTGCTGCATGCTGACGGGCTGAACAGGGACGGTGGCGAGGAAAGACACTTCTGCGGCCACGAGCTCATGGAACCGCTCTTCTGGCACTGCTACCAATTGCCTGCACAAAGGTGCTGTAAGAGCATGCGATTGCATCCACAGTCTCTGAACACACCCTCACAGCTCTCGATGCATGCCTGGCATCTTCGCCGACATTTGAGGACTTCCTCCGCCATATCGTCCGCGTGAATTGGGCCCATGCAGGACCTGGACTTGCTCTATCTCTCTCCCGCCTTCCACCCCCAGAACACACGCGCACACTCGCTTCTTTACTGTCTATGTTGCTGGCCCAGATTGGCCCCTTCTTTCTACGTCCCCCCGCAGACAGCATGGCACTCCCAACCCCGGCATCGTCAGCAGCGGTCTCTTCTGCTGGCTGGAGAGACAAGGACTTCCCCTGCTCCTCCACGAGGTCTTGCTGTGTCTCTTTCTCCACCACAGACAAGAGTCCACCCGTGCACTGGTCTTTCAGGTCCGACTTTCTCCGTCTCTCTCTCTCTCTCTCTCTCTACCGGGCGTGGGGTTCAGGCCAGCGTTCAGGGCCATCCCCCCGTGCGGTCCGCACACCCGCAGTTCTCTCTCTCTCTCTCTCTCTCTCTCTCTCTCTCTCTCTCTCTCTCTGTTCTTCAGCACAGTCGGAGGGCATCACTCTGTCCGTCTCCCTCGTCCTTCCCGCTCCCTGTGCCCATCTGTACTACGTGCCTGCTCGGCATAGTCTGTACATCCGCGGCACCATGTCGCATCTGGGGAGATCCAGTCCAGCAAACCACTGGAGAGAATCTGTCCATGTCAAGCCAGCGGGCCGGGGCGCGCCATCACTTCGCAATCTTTGGCGAGTGTGCGCTGATTAGTTCTTCAACAGGGAGCTCGACATGCGTTGCCACGGGCGAGTTCTTGCCAACAAGCTTATGCCGGTCACCGTAGCCATGGGCGCATTCCCCAAACTAACAATATGGTCAGGAGAAACCAACTCTGATTTGCTCCGGTTTGTCGACACTTGCCACGCCCAGGCCTGTGACGGCATAGGCCTTTCCAGCCTGAACGAAGCAGAAACAACTGAACTGCCGCCAGCTCACGATTTGAAGTGATGGGCCAGCCTCCAGCGAAACATTTCCGAGCCTCACCTCACGACTGTGGAAACTGGCCCTGACAGATCTGAGGCAAAGTACGAAAGCACGGCCTGAAGTTGAGAACCACGGCTGTAGCTAAGGTTCTTCACCTGCGGCGGGGAGCACTTCGGTTCTTCCTCCCATGGCAGTCGAAGATTCTTTTTGCTGCCTGCATCGCCGAGGCCTCAGAGTCCACCTTGCCCAAGGCTGAGGCGGCTAAGGGAACAGATTCCCACGCGTTGCGTCCCCGTGAAGGCTTCGGCTTACTGCAAGTCAGCAGCACCACCTTGCATCGCAGTCTCGTGCGATTCTTTAGCCTCTGAGACAGGGCCTGGCAGTCACCGGCAATTGTCTTGTAGATGTGCTGCGCAGCCTTTTACCTGCCTCGCCTGCAAGCGCTCTACATTGGTCTTCACAGTGGCCAATGCTGCCTCGCAGAAGATGGCGAAGCAAAGATGCATCCACTCAGGTCAGTGGAGAGTGGTTGTGTCTTCTGGGTGGTGCGGGGTCCCTGTGGGCGCCTCCCTGCGGAAGCGGACGAGCAAAGTGTTCTGCGCATCCTGTCAATGCAGCCCAATTTTGCCCCTCATGCTGGCACCGCTGTGGCGGCGTCCTCCACAACTCGGGTATATACCCAAATGTCCACTGCTGTGATTTGCTGGAACCTCATCGGCTCAAGATGTTCAAGAGTCCGTCACTGCACACACTAATCATGGTTATTTAGGGATTTCCGGGGGCAATCTGAGTCTGGAGCTGCAACAGGTATGCAATCGCAATCTCGATGCCAGGAGCCACGAAATCCTGTGTGAGCTTCTCACTGACAAGCTAAACTTGAGCGCATCGGCGCAGCATGGTGCAGCAAGCCACACCATCCTGAATGTAGAGGGTGTCAACGAACCCCCGAAAAAGTCGCAGGGCCTGAAAGGCGGTCAATAACATGATGTCACACCGGGCTAGTTTATGGGATATCTTGGCGCCTTGCCTGCAGCCTTAAGAACTTGTCCTGGAGATGCCTCGCCCTCAAGCGCCATTGTACCTTGTCGCTTCACTGTTGAGCTCAGCCCGGGTCTGAAGCACATGGCCTCAGCAAAGGAGGAAGCTCCGACCTCGGGCGTAGGCCAGAGGAAATCGCTGAGCCGACAGGTTCGGGTGCCCAGCCCGTTGGAGGATCTCTGCGCTTTCCGTGTCGTGTTGCCTTCACCGACACAGGTTTGCAGAGCGCAGAGAACGAAACCCACGTAAAGAGGACTGTTCCGGATTTAAAAGCAGATGCCACTTGGTACTGATGTGCCGGATGACAATGCGCCAACCAATGCTGAGAACGAAAGAGCTTTGAAGCACTTCATGCGTTTGCAAGATGAACCTTCGCAAAAGGTCCAACTCGCGCCAAAGGCTTCCGAAAGCACGGTGCATTGCAGTACAATCAATCCATCAAGGCTCCCTTGAGGAGGCCTTTAACTCATTCGACTTGAAGGTGGACTAGTACTGTTCTCATGCCGCTCTATTCTAGCACACATTCCTTATGCCTTGTTCCACAATCATCACAATTACTGTATTTCTTTGAAAGCAATACGATCATCAACTTCCTTCTCCCTACTATGAGGGCTATTCCATCCTCATCACCGACCTCCGATTTTCATCGCCGAAACCTGCTCGTGAAACTTGCGCTGACGCGACACTACCACTACGATCCCAATCCTTCGGAGACCTCGCAGTTACAACACACAGACGGTGAAATCTCAGCCTGACCACCTCAAGGTTTCACCGATTCCCAGAATCCTGCGGGAAAACACTGGAGTCGCGGAGCTAAAGAGTGACAAGGTGCCGTTTGCAAGTCTGCACACTCCAAACCCATAACAACACACTCCAAGGCGCCCTCTACCGCACACAGGTCCACAGGGCTCCCGGCTCCATGTTGCTGCGCCTGGACGCGAGCTCCTGGATCTCGCGGTTCAGTTTTTCCATTCGACCTCACAGCAACCCCCGAAGTTCAACATTCTATTCTGACGCTGCAAGTCGCCGGGTAGGCCGCAGTACGTCCGTGGGCCTGGCTTGTGAGGTGCGCAAATGCCTTTGCTCGGACAAAGTCCAGGCCTGCACAGGGCTTTGAGACTCTGCGCCGTGGAAAGCGCTTTGCTGAAAAGCTCCGGAACCCTTCTTAGGGAGCTGCCCATGTTCCCGGGCAGAACCAGCAAGAGGAGCCACGGCTGACCTTGCACGTGCTTGGCATCCGAATGCATTCCGCAATGTGCGGTCTTGTGCTGTCCGCATCTTGTGGGTTGTGGCATTCGAGGTTGTTTTGCGGAATCCTCGTCGTAGAGAATGGTGCTGGCAACTACTGTGCCGATTGAGAACATTGCAAAGTGTCAACTTCCAACATCTGCCCACAGCATGAGCAGACAACGGCCTTGGAGCATGCGTGAACAGACACTGCAAGTAAGGACTCCACTGACAAGTATTCCAGGCAGCAGCGCCAACTTCGGCATCGAAAAGAGCACGCGCTCGACGATGGAATGCCCAGCTGCAGTCGGGCAGCTGCATGTCAAGAAACACGCTCGAACTGGCTGGCTACCTCTTTTGGTCGAACATGGGCTAGGCGCATCGCTTCGCACAATGCTGCCGATCTCGCCCGCATAAGCATCAACCTCGAACAAGACAAGATAGCAAGAGAAAGTGGATACAGAACAGGCGGCAACTAACAAGAACATGAACAGAGCTTGCGATTGCATGGGCATCAGTTCGAAGTTGAGATGTCTTGGCACCCCACTGTCAGGTTCGACGATGCCACGGCAGACAGCCTTGAAATGGGTGTGGCCGTAAACAAAAGATGCCCAAAGTGAAAGCCATCAACACGCACACGATTCCCGCAAATCATGCACGAGCCCGGCACAAGCTTGTGCGGGGCCCGTTCGAATCGGCCACCTGCAGCCCACACCGCTGCCAGAATCCCAAGCAAGGTGCAAGGCTTCCGCCGTTGGGAACAAGCTTCCGATGCGAAGACCTGCACGTAGAGGGCGGTGCTTTGCAAGGTGCTGAGCTCCGCCAAGCTTGAATCGGCACATGCGCTTCCGTCCTGTCTCCACCATGTTGGAAAAGCGGGCGAAGGTGAAGTCGCTCACGTTCTCCACGAGGATTCGCTGGAGCCTCGGCTGAGGGCCAGGAGACTTCTGCACTGATTCTTCAGTGGGACACACACTCAAGTACCGGCAGGTACGGGATCGCAACGAAGGCCATGAACCAAACGGCCTTAGGCTTTATCATGCTGTGGCTGCACGTGCATCTTGACGCACAGCAGCAGATTCGCCAAACGCTTGGTGGCAGGCGTGTTTGACGAATGTACTGCAAAGTGTCCTCTCGCCCTCGGCTTCGTGTAATTGCCCTGTGACATCAGTCTCTGCATCTCTGACTGGTGTGTAATCCGTGCGTAATATACATATACATATATATATATATGTGTAATACTTACGTACTCTTACGTATGTGCGTGCATACATAAATACTTATCTACCTGCCGGCATGGCTGAAGGAATATCTACCTACCTACCGACTACCCACCCACCCACCTACTTGCTGCTCTCCCTGCTTACACATATACATATATGCATACATACATGCATACATGCATACATACGTGCACACATTCCCGATTTGGCTATCTACTCTGTGCGTGTGTAGGTAGAACATGGTGACGGTCTAAGTATGGTCCGACATCTCGCATCGGTGTTCACGTCATTGTTCATGTATTATAGTTACACTATGGTTTGATGACAGATGTACATGTATGTCATATTGGTAGGATCTACGTAGAACCACTACAGAGGGATCTGCAAGCACGCGCAGAAGCCAGGATGCTGCAGCTCGACTCTTGTCCACTGTCAGCAGAACGTTTTTTCGAGCCTCCACAAGCTGATCTTTTGCAGATACCCTCTCGTGCCAATGCCCCAACTCCGAAGTGTCCTGCGACTGACGAAGCACGTAGACACCAACGTACCCGAGAGACACCTCCGCATCAAGTGTAGCAAACTGGAAGTTGCGCAGCTCAAGACTGGAATGGCACCTGCGATTGCATGGTTGTCACCAACAGCTCGGCAGAAGCCTTTCCTCAGACACAGCATGACGCTGCCAAGCAAGCCGCCAGCAGCCTCTTCAGCAGTGGCTCGAGGCAGGAAGCAATTGCAATGTAAGGACACAGCGCAGTACTCCCGGTGGCAAGAACGGTTCTGCCGCCTTTCATCCGGGGGGGCTCTACTGAACCCCGAACAAGGTGAAAGCACTGTCACTGTGGCTCATCCACTTAGGCATGGTACAATGAATGCTTCGTAGAGTTCCCGGACCGGGAAGAGGAGCAGAGCAACCGCCGGAGCCTGCAGCGGTAAGCAAGCAGCAAAGAATCAAGACTCTGACCTTTCATCTGATATCAGTGTTGTTGTATTTGAGATCGGAGCACAGACGAAGCCCACCAGGAAGCCTGCTGCCCTTGCACCTGTCAAGCTGAAGTCGCAAGGTGATCGTGACAGTACGCGCAACGTTTCAATTCTGCAGATGAATCAAACGTTGCTGGCTGCCGGAGGGTCGAGGTTCATTCCCCTCCGGCTCAACGGCTAGTCAAGTCTCCTTCGCCTCCCCCTGTGAATGACACACCCGACCGTGCGAGCCTGGCATTAACCATGTCTGGGATCCCAAGTGCAGAGACAGCCTGATCGCACAACAGACATTCGATGGCGTGCAATAGGCTACAGGTTACAACATCCTCATGCTTCCGCTGCCACTAGCCATGGATGACGGAAGAGAGCCTTGCACAAACCCATGAGACGGCAACACCGGCCACCTCTGACAGCGATCGGGTTCACGCCGCTGGCGAAGCCTCACAAGCCTGAGGCCCTGGCCGCTTGCAGCAACTCGACATGAAAGCCAGAGCCGAAGGCCTCAGACGTCTCAGACTAGACCACGAGTCGTAGACTGCACACTTCCCAGGTTCTGTGCAGGATTGGGATCAGGCAAGTGAAACCGTTCCCGCAGCCGCCGACGCCGCTGCTGCAGCTGCGACGAGAGAGATGACGACATTCCTCTTGCAGCTCTTTATTTCTGCAGCTTTGCCATTTGTTTGCCAGCATTGTGAATGTTCATACTACTGCGATGTTCGATTGCTGTTGCCTTCTCAGTCTCCTCCCATATGTGGTTACTAGGATGAGGATGATGATGATGATGATGATGATGATTAGGAGGAAGAGCAGCAGCAGGAGGAGGACGACGACGATGATGCTGACTCCTACCGCTGTTGTAATGACTATTCTTGGCTTCTTGCTACTGTGGGCATGAGCATCAGCATGAGCATTGGCACTCCGAATGGTGTTGGTCAGTTCATTAAGTTTGTTACTCGTTAAGTACGCCTCAAGAAACAATATGTTGACTCTCACCAAGTCCTGAGGAGCCCCAAATACTCTCACCAAAACAGTCATGTAGACTAAGTATGAACCTTACTCCACCCGGCCAGGCCCCCCGGTCCCCCCGACCTCAGAGGCTGCACGACAACGTAGGAGAATACCTGTGCAAACGCGACCCGGAGCGCAGCACTCGGCCACCCGATGGCACCGAACAAACCTGGGCAAAGTGCTCCAAGAGCATATATTTGCTTGCAGACACCTTGGAATCTGGACAGTGCCAGAGACCTACCTGCGACTTCCTAATGCCTTCACGCGACTTGTCCACGCCGGACTGCTTGCAGCTGTTTCGAGAGTCTGATCCTCGTAAGTTGTCTCCGTGCAGTTTCCGGCGTCCGGAGTCTTGCATCAGCTGCGCCTGGACCTCTTCCACCATGCTCGTCGGGCGGAAGAACGGAGGCTTCCATTCTTTCGGTGCTACTTTGCAGGAGGTTGCAGGCCGAGAGCTCAGTGGCGACTTGTCACAGATCTGGAAGAGGAACTGCTTAGAGTCGCAAAGATGGCAGAGACCACCACCAGGCGCGAAGCATCATCCTTCGAATGCTGTTTGACACGTCGATTTCACTCGAATCTGAGCAACAGAACACTGAGACCGCAGGCGGTCCTTGCGACGGACACCGTCACCCAAAGCGAAATACCGGACATCGCTGCTAAGCTCAGCGTCAGCCTCGGAGAGCCTGAGCGATTTCAGCAATGCACCGGAGGATTCCCGATGTGTCTTTGGTTATGGTGGATGCAGCCCCGCAGCTGGTCGCGAAGCCGACGCCCCAGCGGCAGGACGTCCGAACCTGATGCAAACTCGGAGGAGCTTCAGAGATGCTCTGGCGGCAGGACAGGAAAACTTACGCCGAAATGGACAGGGACCTGCTGGCTGAGGATCAGACCAGGAACCATGTCCAGGTGTCCAAGAGTCCTTCCGCGGAATTTCGCTCATATGCCCCCGTGCTTGCGTGGCTCAGCTTCCTCCAAACCATGGCGTTGGAGAAGAGCTTTCTTCTGAGTCCGGAGCCTCGGAGTCGAAACACGGGGTCCACTTTGCTCCCATCCCAACTTTCCCCGGCCTGGGCTTGGACTGTTTGCCTCCGTGCCTTTTCGGTTACGTCGGCGAAAAGCTCGAAGACTGGCTGCCCGCCTCAACGGAGTCAAGATGCGCAGAAAGTATGTTCTGCTGTACTTATAAGCGAGTGATAAAGGAATAGTATTTTACTCCAATTTCGGGTTCAATGTGCGGGAGAACGGCCTTTTTCGTCTGCAACACAACCCATGATGAGCACCAATTGATGCTGGTCGTGATCTCTTGGAGCTACTCGATTGAGAAGCAATTATGAATCTGTGCATGTCTACACAGAATATCTCAGCCAGGTCATGCAACGCCGGATGTCACTGGCCCAACAGCTGCAGAAACTCTGCAGCTTGGCCTTGTGATCGTGAAACTTTCTCTTACTCGGCCTAACAGCCTCAGCCTCCTCCAGCTCCATACGGAGAAACTGGCTTTGCAGTTGCGGTTAACAGCTCCTTTGCATCCCGGGATATCGTTGTTGCAGCTGTTGCAAGAATTCTGTCACGTCGGCTCGAAACGCCTTATTGTGGTGAAAATCTCTGAGGAAGGGGGGACGTTTGCATTGCATGTAAATCTTCCAACTCACGGCGTGCGTTCTCTTCGTTCTGTAACTTCTCTCGGAGCTCTTCCGCTGCACTCTGCTCCTCGGAGGCTTTGCGCTGAGCCGCCTCCAGCTCTGCGCGTAGTTCCTGCAAGACGTTTCCTTCACCTCTTGCCGAAGTCTCACGGGCACTGACCTGGATGCGGGCATGCTCGAAGAGAGCTGCTAACAATTCTTGCTCGCTCTCCTTGCAAACATCGAACTTCACATTCTCCGATGCCTTGTCATCCTCTAGTTCTCCTTCGCCTGCCGCGTTCTTCTGGTGCCACTTCTCCAGCTGCACACGAAGCCGCTCTATTTCGATGCATCGGATGGCAAGCTCATCTTGCATTGTCCGCTGGTGTCTCTGCTGTTTCGTCTTTAGCTCCTTTAACTGAGCCTTCAACTCTTCAAGTAATCTTCGCTCATGCGAAAGCATGTACCTGGTTTCCTCCAGCACAGACTGCAGCTGCTCCGCTTCATCTTGCAGCTGGCTTCTGCCTTTTTCCAGCTCATCAGCACCGGTCTTGCTTGGCTCACACAGCCGACTTGCCGCGCTGGCAATCTGTGTCCACACAACGGCCATAAGCATCGCCGCAAGGATGAGACAAAACAGTCTTGAATCCTTGTGGCCTGTGAGCCAATGATGCGATTTTCAGAGCCCCACACGTCTTGCCGACAAACGGGGCGATTTGGATTAGGAGTTAGACATAATTTCCACAAAGGCTTGTTCCGTCCCTCTGCAACCAGGCACTTCCTATTGAAGAACTGTGCCAGCCAAGCTTTCCTACGCTCGCTTTTGCCGGCACCGGAACATGTATCACGCCGCACCTATGGCCAGCGGAAGCCAGCCATTCTGGCATCGTATCCAACTGCCCACTCTTTCCTGCAAAGCTCCAGACTGAAAATCGAAATTCCGAAATATGCTGCTCTCTTCATCGCGGTCCGCGACGTCCACGACTTCTTGGAAGACGGGCCCCATAACCATCAGCTCACGATCCTGCAGGAGTGACAGTGACCCGTCGAAGCCGCCGAAGCGGTCCACAGCGCATCGAGGCATGAAAAATGCTCCTCCAAAGTAGGACTTTTTCTGAAAGCCACGCCCTGCCGTTGGTACGCACACAGCAAGGCATGAAAAAACGAAGCCGGTGCCCGGTGCATGCACTGCGCCTGGGAGGAGATACAGCGTGCTCGTAGGATGCCATTCAGCAACTGGCAGTAATAAAGACTCCGTCACGATCAAACTCGCCTTGGGAGTTTGCCTCGAAGACATTGCAGCCATCCAGGCGCAGCGGAAGCCATCCTTTCGCACATCGAGCCCACTGACCTGCAAAGCAAAGTCAGTGCAGGCACAACTGTGCGGATCCGAGATGCTGCACCGAAACGCCTTGTATCATCTCGACGGGCACAATGTCGTCGTATGAAGGGCCTGCGTATCCACCTGGGAAGCAAGTCAAGCTGAGACTACAATCTTGAGAGACTCCGGATTTGGGCACGAGCCTTCACGATCTGTCAGATTTGGTGACCTGTCTGCTCCAGCAGGTCCAGCAACAGACAACTGCAGCGCGGCCTGCCCTCAAGCCCTGGCCTGCGATACGCCACACCCTGCCAGGTTCAAGCTTTTATTGAACCATTGGTACTCTGCAGGATTGCCCGGCGACTTGAGCCTGGTGGCTCAAGCAGCGCAAAAGCTTCAATTCCGGGTTCGATGCGAGGCTTCCTCCTCCCAGCAGCACTAAAGCAAGACGACTGTCAGCTTAGAAAAGAAGCTGGTCTGCACTATTAGCCACGAACTTCCGAGCAACGCGACGCAGCACTACTTTCAACGTCTGACAAATCCATCCTGGTGAAGCAGGACGTAGACCTGCTGTACCTGCATCTGCTTGATGGCACCTGCTGCGAGAGAAAATTGGAGGCATTAGTCAAGCATCACGCAGCCGTTGAGGTGTGGTCGTCGCTGATCACTGCAAACCGCCTTCGTACCAAGGTGACAACAGTGAATGCTGTGTTTTTGCCATGCTGGCTACATCTTCCTTCTCCCAAAGTTGCTGCATAACTGCCGTCTGCCGCATGCCTTCCCGAGCCGATCATGGTGCGTGTGCTCCATCATTTTCGTCACAGAAGCACATTCACAAACCGGCACGATTAGGCGAGCACTGCCCGTTCCAGCATCTGAGTTGTTCAAACACAGTATCCTCTAACGACTTGCTGTGGCATGATGTTGAACAGGTTCTGGTATTAGGATCTGGGTGGCATTGACTAGGCCGTTTCCCCCTTCGACAACCAACATCATGTGAAGTCTTATGGAGTTCGTGGCGAGAAGGACACGTGGGCAACCTTCAGCGGAGTCGGACAGCATCTTGAAGTAGAACACGCTATTTATTATCAAAGTTCTTCACACACCTATGTACTATATAAGGTATCGCTAGTGTGGCCGAGGTGCCAAGCAGTGGCTATTGCATAGCATTGTCTGCACAATTCTACTCAACACAGCTTCTCAAGCGTCGCACCGCTCACATGTCGGTCTGTCTGCTTGTCTCTCTAACCTTTCGATCGATCTATCCGTCCATTTTCTTTCTACCTGTTTGTCTTTCTATCTGCTTATATACCTATCCATCTGTCCATCTGCAGTATAACCGGTCTAGCCATCTGGCTAACTAACTGGCTGACGAACCGACCGACTGACTCACTGACTGACTGACCAACCAGCTAGCCAATTAAGCATGTCTATGCACCTCGATCTTGCGACCGGTTCTCCACCCACTAGCTTGAGTAAATGCTATGTTGCCTCAAGGGGGTGTGGCGCAGTGTCAATAGTCAACGTGTCTATGTGCAACTATCTGCGATTAATTCGTGGTCTATACCGAAAAAGAGTTTGTGTTGACGTGAACATTGTCAAGAAGGACACGTAAGCAAATAGACATCTAGATAGACAGATTAGTTCCATAGATTGGCCCGTCTGTAGATAGATAGGTAGGTATACAGAAAGATAGCTGGAGCACTTAGCGTAGACAGATTAGATACATGAGAAAGGTTCGACAGACTCGATAGATGGAAAGATACATGCATGGACAGGTCCATAGATAGCTGCGCGGCTAGGTAGGTAGATGGATGACACCTAGATAGATAGACAGATAGATAGAGCGGATCGATTGGAGGGGTTACGTAGACTAGATAGGTTAGATGGGTTGGAACTGGGTTGGATCTGACTGTTAGATGGGTTTGACAGGTTCGATGGATTCGATGGACGGATAAATTATCAGCTAGTGAGGTCATTTCTTCAAGCCGGAGACAGTCTAGTGCTAAATCCAGACGGATGGCAGGTACGGAGGTCATTTTGAAATTCGAACCCGGGGGCATAGCATCTATGTGATTCTATGTGGGTTAGCACGACTCGCACCATATTGTGCTAATGTGCTGAAGCTGCGTTTATGCCTTAACCTGCGGTAGTCTCTGCGCTTTTTCATCCCTTCGGCCTCGATGTCGGATGATGATAGGTCTCCGAGACCCTGCACATGAAAAGACAGAGTTCCGAAGATCCCACAAGTCAGGAAAAGTGATCGAGGGTAGCCTGGATGATGACTGGATATAGGCAGCAACGCCATCACCAGAAAATCTTTCCTGACGTCACGGGAAGACGTCAACCGATTTTCACTGCACAAGCACGGTGCAAGATCCAGCAGTCTGTAATAAAGCTGATTGGAATCTATCAGGGTCCTGCGGCCCAGCATTGGCAAACATCCGATCGAAATCCTGGCAAGCGGCCAGGGCAGACCAAAGCATGCAAAGACTAGTTCTTGCAGCACGGTCGCTGCCAGCCCTGGCTCTGTGTGCCTTGAAAGGGTCGTGTCCGAAGAAGTCTTCGAAGAGGTTGAAGGCCTCCTGCAGGTCCACGGCCGGTTCCGGCCTTGGAAAGTGTGAGAGGCGGCAAAAGTGCTGAAAGGTTGCGAGTTGCTGCGAGGGCCGCGCGGGCGCCGGGTGACGGGCGGCGTCGGCGAAGGGCCCGTGGCTCTGGGCTTGGAGCGCGCCTTCGCGGATCCAGTGGATCCAGGGACAGGCCCCTGAGGGGCCCCTGCCGTGAGCAGCTCTCGAGCAGAAGCCCTCACTGCGATGCCATGGAAGACATGACGTGACCTCTCGAAGCTGGTACATCTCTGGCCAGTGACTCGTCATAGACCCTCCGCTTTCCTGCATCAGAGAGGACCTGACAGCTTTGCTCAGAACTATAACCTTGCCCAGCTCCACCCACTCCAGCCTTGTAGGCGGCAGCTATGCGCTTGAAGTTCGCTTCAGCTTCGGCTTTCGCCTTCAAGACTAAGGCTACAGCAGTGGCCGTGTCTTCAGGAGACGCTGCAGTGCAGCCGCCTTTGGATTCTTGTCTGGATGCCACCGCAAGGCAGCCTGCAGTACAGAGACAGAGAGACACGGAGACACGTCCGCGTCGCTGGTCGCGCCGAGTCGCGGGTTTCCGGCCTTCTTGTAAGCTTGGCGAATGTCCGCGTCGTTGGCTCGTGGCGTCAGGCCAAGCGCTGCATAGTGATCGTCTTGATCCATGGTCGCGGCCTCGCACCTAGCTGGCCTACAAGTGGCTTCTCCCCCCTTTTGTCGCATCCCGGTCAGCCCTTGATACTGCTTCTTCTATTTGCAATGGGAAGAACTCATATATGGCTGCGAGGCGAGAAGCATCAGAAAGACAAGAAACAGCCATCCGGCGCAGAAAGTCAAGCCCCGGCCCCCGTCATAGCGCACGTGGCTCCAAATCGTCAGCTCGAAGTAGTGCAGCCTGCAGCAGGAAAAGTATGGAAAACCCATGAAACGTCTCAGGAGAACCTCGCAGACCCAGAAATTCAACCCCAAGCATCTCCTGTCAGCCGTCCGGAGTCCATGATCAACCAAGGCCGCAGCGCCTCCGGTCCCGTCTCAACCGGAAACGGAAGGGAGCTCTGACGGGTCTTGGTGCCTACGAAGACGGAGAGCGCAGCCGTCGTGGTCCAGTGCTCGTCCCCGCGGCCACGGATGGCCCAACCTCTCCCCGCAGGGTTTGCACGCACGTCTACCAGTAAATCTCCTGCAAGGCTCGCGCGGGAGAAGGCTGCTGGCAAAGCAACGACTGCCAAGGTGCTGTCAAGTGCCTCGATTTCAGTCCGAACTCGCTCGGCATCGCACACATCAGCAAGTGGCAAAAAATCGAATCAGCAAGCCAAACCCTTGATCCCAGCCACTTTGACTCACAATGACTCACGCATCTGCCTCCAAAACATCGGTTCTGGCCAGAGTACCGGCCTGTCGGAAAGAAAGTACACAGGGGTTGGTCACTCCATCCCTTCGCTCTTCTCAGCCTCGATGCTTGAGCTCATCCCTGCCAAGAGCTGGAAGAAGCCGCCACGGCCATGGCAATGCAGCTGGGAAGGTCTCGTTGTGCGATTTCCTTCTGTGTTGTGCCACATCCTTTTCTACTTAGCCACGCGCTGGCTGCTGAGCATACTATGAATGCAGCTGGCACAGTTGCAATACTTACGGTCCACCTGTGATCAAAGCCTCTTCGGATCTCTTCGCCGTACTCAACCACCCCAGTCTGGCATGCAGTAGTGTGACCTCCCCCCTTGTGTGACCTCCGCCTGTGAAGGCATCCTGTCTATGGACTGTGGTGTGGTACCAGAGGAAGTCTCCAAGAATGCAGGACCAGCAGGAAAAACACCTGGCACAAATCGACACCGACACCCCAGCCGTGTCGAAGATCTCTTTGTTGATTTGAGCTTTCTGATTTTTGACTTCTGGTGAAACCTTTTCAAACTCTGCCTTTGGCAGGTCAGCCCTCTAATGCAAACTGAAATCTAATTTCAATTACACTACAAGGGTATGTCTCGACCCTTCATCCGTGGAAGGCGCCCAAAGTCCTGAAGTAGACGCACCAACAGCCGAAACAATTGTGCTGCGTGTGCATCTATCTCCAAATTCTGTCTGGGGCTTATGCCGAGTTGGATCTCGGAACTCCAGATGCCTCACCTGCATACGCAGTTGCCCTTACCCGCCGAACACGCGACTACAGAGCCTGTGCTTTGCAGCCCCCGGCCTCCGGCCCATGGCCTGACCTCACGGCTGACCTGAGAGGCCAAGGCCAAGGCCCGGCATGCTTCAGCGGTTCAGCGCATGCGAGATATGCGAGACACTGGGGCCGCAGCCGGCATAGTATGCCTTAGAGTGTTGTAAGCAAGCGCATGCGTGTTCATGATGCAAGAAGAGGTTCAAGACATCACAAACAAAGGTCTCTGCGCCAGGTTATGGAGCATCTTGGGCTTGTGAACCGTCTGGCAGGCCGCAGTGTTGCTGCACGGTTGTAACCCCTTCCAATCGCTTAAGGAGACTTCGGGGACCTTTATGCCACATTATGCCTTTGTTTGATCTGCATGCGACATGATGGTGACTGCATAGGTGTGCCTCTGCCTTACAACATGGCAAACGAAAACGCACCTGCGGATGGGCGGCGAGCTTCCGCTGCTTGCCGAGCCGCATCGCTGTAATCTCCTGCATGGCAATGAAGGCGAGACGAAGTTCTCACATCTTTCTTGAGGTGGCAGTCCAGTCTCTGCCGCTCGGCTGCATCTGCGAGCATCTCACACCGCTGACTGTCCTCAGCAGGATGCAACCACATACTTTAGTTTGGAGTGCGATAGCCTACCTATCTTCGGTGAATATCTCTTGGACTTCAAACTGAGACCCTAACACGTATCCGGCGCTGCTCCAGCTTCTGGTTGCGAGCTCTTTGTATGGCAAGCTCTTCCTGGAGTTTGTCGCAAACACAATGCTTTGTGGGCTCCGAGCTGCCACTCACAATCCAAGTCCTGCGTTGCACGAAGCGCTCTTGTGAGCTCGCTTCTGGACATCTGCCTGAAAGAGCACCGGCAAACCATCACAGCTACGATGGATCCTTCGTGGGGGGCCCCTGGCACCTGGAGGATCCAGGGGAAGCCATGGCAGCTTGGAGCGCCTGAAGAAAGGGCTCCAAGGCAGGCGGGTCCGGGTCCCTTTTGTGCAAAGATCTGACCTCCAGGGACTCCTGTGTGAGGCGTTCCTCGGCCTCAAGCTTCAAGAGAGCAGCGTGGGTCGTGGGCACTCGTTCCAACATGGTGTGCCCTGGTTCTCTGTGAGCTTTAGCCTTTAGCTTCCTGTCTCAGGCCGGTGCGGAGGGCTGTTCATCCTCTGCCTCTTGCTGCTCAGAGGTGCCTCAGAACAAGCACATGTACCTCAGACTCTCGGACATCTGCATCTCTCAGTGGTCGCCTGCCTGCTTTCAACTGAAGGTCGATCTGCTGATGCCGCAGTTGCCTCGCATGGCAGCAGATGGCAATCAAGAGTAACGGCGGGAAGGGTCCCCACGCAGCCTCCTAGCATTTTCCAGCTCACGCCGAGCTGCCGACAGATCCACCTCACAAGCGTGGCCGCGGCATAGCGATCAAGCGATCCCATGTTCGGGCTCGCTCGAACAGAATTTGGACTATGACTCTCTCTCTCTCTGGAGTTTTTTCAATCCTCACTGGCAAGCTGTTCATGACGATTCTAAGAGAACCCCGGAAGACGGCCTCCAAGTGACGATTCGCCTCCTTCAGGTCCTGGCATGGCAGCTCGACTTGCTGCACTTGCCGCAGCTGCAAGTGATAGCCTGATAGCTCAAAGATATCTAACAAATATTCATATTGCATGCTGTCTTGCACCATCCTATGGGAAAGCCACTGGTACCGCCTATAAGGTGCCCGGGCGGACTGCCGTGCAAGTCGCAAGAGAACAGTTGACCATTTCCGCTGGCCTGGTTCTCCTCCGCCAGTCGCTGGCAGCGCTTGGCAAGCTCACCTCGATCGACCTCACAATGCGAGCTAAAACGGAAGCTGGACCACGCGAAAACATCTCGTCTGCCGTGCCTCAAGGTGCTTCACCAGGCGCTCGACTTCCTGGAGATCTATTCTCTGAACCTGCCCACCTCGCATCTCCACACAGCCGTGGAACGAGTTTTGCTTGTGTGGGTGTCAGAGAATCGCCTGGCCCGCGCAGCTGCTGTAAGATGAAGTCCAACTCCTGGCAGTGGTGGACTTGGAGTCCAAGTTGCAAATAAGCCACAGGCTATTGCCTTCTTTACAGAAGACAGCTGCTCCCTGACCGCGGTAGTTCCAGTCGCTCCGCCTCTGACGCGCCACATTTTCGCTCTGACAAAACCCTTGGGCCAGGGATGCTTCGGACGCTGGGGCACAGGCTCGGGACGTATCCGCTCGGCCGCCCGCCTGCCGTGCCAGCTGCGGCACCCGACAGGAAATGCTGGAAAATTGGAAGCTGCTTTCAAAGGCTGTTTCAGCTCATTGCGCCTGCGCCCGCGCAATCGTCCTGCAGCAGACTCGGCTACCTCTGAGCATGCTTTGGAAGCTGCAGCGTCCTCGATATGATCTCCATTCTGCATCCCTCGCAAGAGTTGTCAAAAACAAACACAGACAAGCATCATCCGAGGCCACTGGGCGGGACAATGCAAAACGCTTGCCGGGCTGCCGTGCCTCAGCGACGACCACGTGAGGTCATGCTCTTGAGCCTTCATTAAAGCATCCTGCGGTGAAACACAAAACGGCAGATTCGGTGGCACATACATGGCTGCCAAATCAAGGAACGATTGCGGCATGGACCATGCTAGCCAAATTTCTGCTCAAACGCCCTCCTTTTCCGACAGGCAGCTCACGAGGTCCTAGTCATCTTTGTGACTTACAGACCTCTTTGGCCCTTGTCCATCTTTGTCCCAAATTCCCGGCGAGGGAGCTAGTTTCAGCTCCTACCAGGCCACCGCAAGCGAATACATCCAGATGATGCTTAGGCAGCCGACATCGGGCGCCCTTAGTACACATGTGCCGTTGCGCAACGGAACTTGCAACAACTCATCCTGAGGCTCGTCCTCACACGGTCGGGCCCGCTGGGCCCGTAAGCAAGGCCTGGCTTCGGGCCGACTTCGCTTGTTCCCCTCCCGTGCCACTGTCCGTCATGTCCGTCCTCGCCGGTGTCTTGAGGCTCCTCAGGCACCACGGTGGGCCTCGCTTTCCCGAGCTGACGATGCTGAACCGAGATGCTGCTGGGTCTGCTGGGTCTTGCACGCGGCGGATCGGCGAGAGTAGTAGAAGCCTAGGAGCTTGCGTTGCGCAAGCTCGCGCAAGTGCAGGACTTAGTGGTGTCAGCAAGAAAGTCATCAGTTATCAAGTTCTCCACAACTGAATTTCGATATAAGCATGGACATGCTTCAGCATCTTGAACTCCGGAAGGGTTTTCCGATCGCGCAGCGCAAGTCGCAAAGAAGGGCACGAATGTCAACAAATTTGTGTATGTGGATCTGCACGCTTCGACGCCAAATCCCATGATGTGCCAAGATGTCTTTGTCCCAGCTGTTGCAGAAACTCTGCAACTTCTTCAGCATGACAGGCCCTATCTGGTGAAACTCTCTCGCCAGCTGCAATTGTTTTAAACGCTGCAGCTCGGTGCCTGCCTTCCCCATGACAACTCACCAACCAAGGCGGAAAATCATGACAAGAACACTGTTGAATACTCCGCGTGTGAGTTTGAAAGATGAACTTGGGGAGGCCTGCCACGAATTAAGTGGTCATTGGATGAACATTGCATGCAAGGCCAGGGTATCTTTGCCCCAGCAGCTGCAACCACTCTGCAACCTGGGCCTCAAAGGTCTTGCGATGGTGATACTCTCTCAGAACGGACTCTCGTTGTAGTTCCAGCAACTGCTCCATATTCTGCAACTGCTGGCGAAGCTCTTGTGCAGCTTCCTGCTCCTCGGAGGCTTTGGCTTGAGCCACCTCCAGCTCCGAGCGGAGTTGCTGCACGGCAGTGGCTTCTTCGGTCACCACGGCGGCGCAGGCAGTCGCCTGCTTCGTGGCGTGGTGGAGCAGTGCCGCCAAGAGCTCTGTCTCGCACATTCGTGCATTGCTTGCATCAGTGTTCTTCTTCTGAGGCTCCTCAGCGATTTTGCGCGACTCCGGGTCGAAGGCTTCTGTCTTCTGATGCAAATCGAATTTGGCTGTCTCGAGATGAGCCTGAAGTTTGCGAATCTCTTCGCTTTGAAGCTGGAGCTGCTCTCGCAGCTCCCGCTGCCGCATCTCGCCTCTCCTCTGTTCATCTTTGATTTGGGCCTTCAACTCTTCAGAGACGCGCTGCTCATGGTGAAGTCGGAGGCGGGTCTCCTCCAGCACAGCCTGAAGCTGCAAGATCTCATCGGTCACTGCGTTGTCGGAACGACTTGGGTCGCACACCCAACTTGCAACGTCGGTGATCTTCGTCCACAGAGCAGCCATGCGGAATCTCCGAATCTACAGTGTGTTGAAGAATCTGACACCTGTACGAGCGACTCGGAAAGGGAACTGCAAACTCAGCACCTCTTGGGAAGACGTTGCTGCGCACAGCCCCAGGCACTGAAACGGATGGCAAATCACTGGCAAATCCATGCATGCCTCTAGCACCCTCTTACACGGCATGGTGAACGATGGGGGGAGGGGCGATATGGCGATATGAGCACGGCATGGGGTGAATCATGGGTGAGGGGGGTGGGGCGATATGGCGATGTGAGCTGCGAGGGGGCGCTTCCAGTGTCAGAGGAGCCAGCCGGCCACGGGCAATGCAATCAGTGCCAGTAGACCGCCTGCAAGCTCCAGAGCCTGAGGGTACCAGGGCAGAACAGACGAAGCATACAAGGATTTCTTCATAGGAGTCGAATGCTTGTGTTATTCCTTGCAACAGCAGTCTGAGAGCGAGTTGTGGCGTCAAGCAGCAAAGGGAATGCCACGCTGCTCGTTCTCGGCAGTGAGCACCCAAACTGGCAGCTTCTTCTGGAAGGATCTTCCTGTTGCGGCAGAAGCACGGCTAACGACGGCAGCTGGAGCTTCAGCAACGTGCCTTCGAAAGCGAAGATGCTGTTCGGCGCCACTTTGGGAACTGCCAGGGTCGCAAAAGCTTGCGGACATTCTGCCAAAGACTCACGCAAGTGCGGGCAAGGCCTGTAGTAGTCATGGTGGTGCTTGTGGCCTTGCTCTTTCAGCGCTGCAGCCAACTTCGTCCCCTATGACATCATCATGTCTGAAGTCTGAAACAAGCGGTAAGGCACAGGCAGTAGAAGTTGTAAACGTTGCAGAAGTTGAAGTTGACGAAGTACTGGCAGTGTGAGGAAGGGTTGTTTCCAAGGCTAGCATCGTCGGGCGGCAGGTGCGCCAGTCCAGAAGTTAAGGGCGGTGTGCGTGGCTGCGCTTCGTCCATGTGGGGATCCGATACGTGGAGTCAATTGAAACGACACTCGAAGCCCTGTCTCGTCGCGTCCTTGTTATGGTACGAGTGAGGGTGGTGGTCGGCCTGGTGCCAAGAAAGCCATCGAGCTGTGCAAGGTTGCACCGAATAGCTCAGGCGCTGGCGGTGGTTCTATGAAGTAGTATCCCGATTGCTTGAGGCAGAGTGCGTGAAAACCAAGGTCCCTGAGCCGGCAGGATCACCGAGATGCACGATCATGCACGGTCGTTGTGACATGTCTGAGCGCACGGACATGTATGGACTGAAGGAGCCGTGCAGCGTGTCGCAGGGCCGAGGATTAGCCTGTCCGGTACTCAAACTTTGCGGAGGCTGATCACTTCCGAAAGGGCCTTGTGATCTGCGAGCAGCAGAGCTGATCGCACAGATCCAATGCCCAGTGTACCTTTCCAGTCGCAGTGTCTTGCGTGGGGCCTGCATCGGGCACCTAGACAAATCTACAGGCTCTCTGCTTGGCGCACTGACACATGAAGAGAGCCAGCGGTTCTCGGGTTGGCTCTCCCATCTTGCAGTGCTCGTGCAGGTGTGAATGCCTTGGACAAAAGCTGGTGCTGCGGGGACCTTGATGCTTGTTGGAACACTCTGCATCCACAGGCAGCAGCCGTCTGCCAGTGTTGTGGCAGCTTTTGCACTCATTGCTTCCACAGGCCCCAGCAAGTCCTTAAAGGGCCAACGACACCGATTGCACAAACTGCTGGAATCTGTGGCCTGTATGATAGTAGAGCTGAGACAGGAGCCCCACCAAAGTTGTGAACGATTTTCGCTCCGCACTCCGATGGCGGACACAAGGCGTTCAAAGCCTCAGCAAGACTTCGAGCAAGCCGCAGACGGCTACACAGCAGCCGTGCCAGCCATCTTGGTCAAATCTTGGTCTGAAGCACTCCGAAGACGTTCAGGAGCAACAACAACACCAACGTCCAGCTTGAGAATCCAATCAAACGAGCCTGGCAATGCGAAAACTCCAAGTTCCAAGTGCGGTAGAAAAAGGCAGCCAAGCCCACTGCAGCGGAAAGCCTTTGAACTTTTCAGATGTTGGTGCCGCCGACCAGCAAAAGGACAATTGATGTCCCTACTAGTCAAAGATCGAGGGCCACGGAGCATCAAACGCATACTATCGCCTTTTACTGGATTACTGGACACTTATTGGATTTTGCTGCTGCATAGTGCTACTAATAGTACTACTAGTGCACCGCTACTGTGATTCTGCCGCCTCAAAGTGTAGGCCGGGGCGGGGCTTCTTTCTTTTGGGGACTCCGGGCTCCAACGAAAGCCAGTGCCACATGACTCTACCCGGCCTTGGCCTTGATGCCCTGAGACTTTGCCCACTCCACTCGCACTATCCGGCGGAAGGTGTAGGATCCAGATGTTCAGCAGGCAAGCAAGTTCTAGCCTGTGCGCAATCGCCTGATGACGGCACGGCAGTTGTTTCGAGTCAGCAAGAAAGTTGAACAGCCGCGGGCTTCTCGCCAAAGTCCGCCCAGACCCAAGCACAAGCATCACCAGCCTCACCAGCATCATGAACATCTTCACACCCTAGAGTCCTAGAGTGTCGCCTGCTGGCTCAGAGCAGGACAAAACCGCAAAGTTCTCAACACAAACCATGCCATGAGGAATGTGGTGGTGGAAGTGGACTGCTCGTGGGCGGCAGCATTGGCATTCATCTTGATGCGCACATGCTGAGATCTGCAAATTAGCATTCGGCCAGGAAAACAAGAGGCGCTAGCATGTTTCTGCTGGACAACAGGCCGGCCGAACGGAAAGCACCTTTGTCGAAAACGGCCTTCCAAGCCTTTGCATAGACCTTTGACGATCTTCCACCATCACAGCTCCGCTGACAAGCGACTCGTTTATCCAAGGTCGCGACCCCTGCGTCGGCTGGCTCGCTAACCAGTTTGCCTGACAAAAACCAAGAACCCCAACGCCCGTTTGCTTGTTCACACTGCAGCCGGAGAACCGTGGACAGTGCGGAAGGTCCTTGACTGCAGGGATTTCCGGAGTCGTCCGATGTACACAAGACCCGCACCCCACGCCGCACAGTTCCTGCCAGCAGTGTTGCCCTGGATGACGCTGAAGTTCCTCAGCAGTAGTGAACGTCTTTTCTTGTCCGGTGTCCAGAGCTGGCGCGCTCTTGCGGTGGCAACCTGACAAACTCCCGAGTCTGCAACGTTTGCCAAGCCTCAGCCGGCAAGACCTGTCTCAAGCATTGGCTGCCAGTTCGGATGTGGTACGACAGGTGAATACATGAGTAGTCTCTTACTGTTTGCAGGCCTCTCTAGCCGACGCATTGCTGATGACCATCCAGCCATCACACGCAAAGATGCCAAGGTCTGGAACGGCGAAGGCACCCATTGTTGAGTTCATGCGCAGACATGTCGCCGAGTTGAGATTGCAAGCTCGCAAATAGTGCCTCGCTGCCGCTGCCAATTGAGCAACTCTGGCTCCTTGTATAGGGTTGGCTTGCAGCTTGCAATTCGCATCAGCGGCATTTGTACCTTGCCCGCGTGCTGGACCAGCACCTGCCAGGAAGCAGAGCATTGAGGCAAATGCTCCGGAATCTCGGGATTGCGGCGTCTCGGACTTGCCGAGGCACCCAGCAGAAGATGGTGGGCCGGATATGGTAACCTGCCAGTGGCGCAAGTTGTACTAAGCGCGACCCCTGGTTCATAGCCGTAGTATGAAGCCTCGCTGCAACACATCTCGCGTCCACGACACCTGCTGCAGCTGGCTTGTTGAACAACTCTTTTGCCTGTTTGCTGCCATGTTTTCCCAGCGTGCCGACATCTGATGACCGTGTCCACATGTGCAAAGTGCCTGCCCTGGATTTGATGGAGCATCGGGGGTGACAGAGTAGCCCGCCTAGCACGGGAAATCCGCAGGAAGTGCATGTAGCAAAGCCCGACCAAGCAATACGACTCTGCCTGGCCCATGCAGGTCATGTAATCTGGCCAAGCCAGGAAAGGCCAAAAGCTGCCTTGACCTGCATGCGATACGACCTACAGGACAGCAAGCAAAGGATCGGCTAACGTCCTCCCCGAATCTACTACGACTGCTAACCACTACTACTACTACTACTACTACTGCTGCTGCTGCTGCTACTGCTACTACTACTACTACTACTCCTCCTCCTCCTCCTCCTCCTCCTCCTCCTCCTCCTCCTCCTCCTCCTGCTGCTGCTGCTGCTGCTGCTGCTGCTGCTGCTAATGCTACTACTGCTGCTACGGCTACTACTGCTACTACTGCTACTACTGCTGCTACTGCTACTACTGCTACAACTGCTACTACGGCTACTACTACTACTACTACTACTACTACTACTGCTGCTGCTGCTGCTGCTACTACTACTACTACTACTACCACTACACGACGACGACTACTAGGACCAGGACTAGGACCAGGACTGGGACTACGTCTACGACTACTACGACGGCGACTACTACCACTACCACTACCACTACCACTACCACTACTACTACTACGACGACTACTACTACTACTATTCCTGCTTCTGCTGCTGCCACTGCTCCTACGCTCAATTGTTCCTATGCCCCCTCGTCGTTCTCCTTCGGCTAGTGCTGCTGCTGGTGCTGGTGCAGCTGCTGCTGCGGCTGTGGCAGCATGCTTCAGTAAGCGAATTCACCAGGCAAGTGGCTCTGCTACCTCTATCTGATCTGAGCCGCGCGACTGAGATCACAAATCCGCATCGAGTGCGAGGTGCTGAAGTCTTTCATCAGGTTCTTCTCCTCGGATGGGCAGCGGTTAATGCAGCGCAAGAGTTCGAAATGGTCTAAAGTCACTGTCCTTCACCAGCTTGACACCACTCTGTGTCAGGCTTTTCTGCAGGCACTTCACCTGCGGCAGCAGCACCAACTTTACTTTGAGCCTGCTGGGCATGGACGCTACTAGAAGTCCTCTGCATCGGCTGCTGCCTGACAAAGCCAACGAACGCTTTGCACCGGCGTGCACCGCCAAGCACTGATCCAAGACCTCATCCCCGCAGGAATCGTCGAGCTGGTTCTTTGCCAGCTCCGCAACAGCGGCTTTCGTCATGGCCTGCATGGCACCTGCAGACGCGTCTTCCAGCTTTGACGAAGGCCGAAAGAAGTGGCAACAAGTGGATGGATTGGCCTGGAATCGTCGCGCCGTCTTGCAACACCATCGCGTCACAATCTGGCCATGCTATTGCAGCAGCATCAATCAATCGGTGCTTCGAAACGCTCGAGTCTTTCAATGGTGTCTTTCCTGACAACAAACGAGTCAGCAACGCCTGTAGCAGAACAATGGGGTGACCTTGGACAGTGCCAAGGATCCACGAGAAGGCTTGCTGTAGCTCGACCCGTGCTGGAATAGAAAGCTGTGTGCCATGCAGAACATCCCTCAAGCGATCCGGATGAAAGGCTGTTTCTGGGTCCTCTCTCTTCGAGACATCCGGTAGATGCTGATAACAAGCAGGCATGGCAGCAGGCGGTCCATCTTAAGGGTCCAGTCGAATCTTCTAAAGCGCCCTTCTTCTGCAATTCTCTTCCACACCTGCATCGGGGCGCTTGGCATTGTAATGCAGAGGTTTTGTAAACCGACCGGCGCCGCCTCACGGAGTGCTGGTAGTCCGAGCCTGGCCCATACAGGTAACAAGCTCTGCAACGAAACGTTGAAATCCGTTGCAATCGCAATCATGAAGAGCGCACGGCTGGTCCACAGAGTGGGAGAGCACATGCACAATAGGACCACTTGTGGGCCACCTGCCCGACACCCAAGCTCTGAGGCCAAGATGCGATCTTGATGCAAACGGCTCGTCACCGGATGTCACCGGGTTCCCAGCGCCGGCTTCGTCTCACTACCCTTGAAGAGCTCCTTGGGTCCCGGACACACGCAGGCACTCCGGACATGACGCCGTATTCTGCCTGCCTCTGCTGGCAGATTGCTGAAGAGCATGTGGCCATCGCAGCCGAAGAGTCCAATCCCTCGGATAGGCAAGCGACGCACTCAACTCTACACACAACCCAGACCCCAGACCCCCCCCATGTATGCGGTGTGCCTTCCACGAACAGATTTGAGAGAAGATCAGCCTCGCTTCCAAAGATGAGAGGGCAACCTTTTCTCCTCCAATGATGTAGGCTACGAGCCTGCTGCCGGCCAACGACACTGAAGCAGAAAATCGACGGACCTGTCAACACTTCTCAGATAGTTGCAAATTGCGCGAGTCTGCAACATGCCAGCGGCGCCGAACAGCATGGCGATCCCCTGAGGCAGCAGGGCCTAGGTGGCTCCGACTCAAGACGAAGCTGAAGCATCAAGCTGACGCTGGACGGGCCCCGGCTGCCAAGAAGAGGGGAAACAACATGAGGATTCAAGCCCTCATCTGCTATCTCGGGGTTGTGAGGTCACATCCGCTTGTCTACGCAAAATCCAATTACACTCAGGTTGCATGGAGGCCTGCACCTGGCTGTGAAAAGGTTTCATGCTGCTGGAGCCTGCCATTGAAGCACAGCTGCACGACATGCCCTTGCAACTGCGGGACAACTGCCGACAAATGATACTTTCTGCAGGGCAAATTCTTGCAAGCGATGATCGGCATTATAGTAACAAAACCAGATATCTGACGGGTCAGAGGCCCAGTCTGTGAGCCCTCGGCGCTCTGCGACATGATTCGGTGGGCTTTAAGCATAGACTGTGCCTCGACCACGAGAGCTTTGACTAACCCACGTCGCCTGCTGCTAGTGAGAGCACTATACCGAGTGATTCTACTCTAGAGTCTGAGTCTGCAGAAATGTATTCGCTTCACACTTGCAGCTTCAAGACGTGGTCAAAGAGACGTAAACAATTTAACTGCTCTGCAGGATGATCTGGCATTTCTCCCTTCGAGAAACTACCACCAGGGAGGAAAGCTGTGGTATGAGATAGTGTTACCTTGTAGCATGGTGTCAGTGTCATGCAGTAGCTTCAATCTCGCAGTCGGATATTATGGGTCATGCGCTTTTGGCTAGAGCGCAGATACACACGAATGAGATTCATCGGTCCGTCTTCAACATGTGCGGAGCCGTGTTGAGAGCTCACGGCACGCTCGCTCTCAGTTTGCCCGCTGCACGACGTTACCCATACCGAAGCCAACCTGCAGCACAGAGCAAATCTTCTCGTCTTACCTATGCCACTATTGACATTGCCTGGATCGTGGCACTGCAATCGCTATGCATTGCTCTGATGAGATTCTCACAAAACCCCGAGCAACACATGAGACGCCAAACCTTGAACAAGGTATGTATCTCTTTAAAACGCAGTGCAGTTGTGCTCTTTGTCGGGCAAACCTTCAAATCGAACCCTGATTGAACCACGACAGGACACACTGAGACGCGTGCAGAGGCACTCCTCTGTGGAATGGTGCCGGCGTTCATGATGACTCCTGGTCGCATCGTGGCCTTCAGGGACATCGGGGAGGCTCAAAGCTCAACAAGTCCCTCCTTTGGGCCCTGTGCCTGCAGAGGGATCTGCCCCGTGGTGGTCATCGGCCCCGCAACGTAGCTAGGGCCTTCGAGAACTTTCGAGACTCAACGGCCTAGCTCCTGGACTACTTCTAGAGGATTGTTGGATGACTTCGAAGATTCCGGAGACTAGCCAATCACTGGCAGCAACACTGGGGCAAGGACGTGCTGCAACTACGCGTGGCGCATTCACAAAGTTCGGCGCCATCTGCGAGATTCTGCTCTACCCCACCACCAACCCACAGCCACAGCGATCACGAAATCAGGACTATGATTGAAGCCTGTGGCATGGCCGGTCGAGCTACAGGCTGGCCAGGCGCGGCCTGAAATGAGGCAAAATGCGACCTGTGTGAGCTATGGCCAACATGATCGCGCCGAGGAAAGCGCAGGAGGAGCAGCGACAAAGCTAGGACGGTTCACCTTCTCAGATCTTCTCAGAGTTCCAAGTCAGTGAAGATCAGCCTTGGAAAAGCCCCGCAGCCTGCGGTGCGGCCACAAAGCTCGGGTGTTGTATGACCTCGCTTGCAGTCACTTCAATGGCAAGAAGAACATTACAAAACCCAAGCGCATCACCGTCCCAACCTTGGCCGCCCCAGGCGGCATCATTACCTCATCGAGGAGGGGTTTAGGTTTTAATTCGGGGTTTGGGGTTCAGAGGTTTTGTTACAGTGCAGTAGAGAACGAGAGTATCAGAACTTGCCATCACCAATGTGTCACTGCCAAAGGCAATCACAGCCGAAGATTGGATGCCCGAGTGTGCGTTGCAGTTGACATTACGCGGGTGTCTTGGAGTGTCTTGGGCCCAACGACCTCTGACAAGAAAGGCAACAACATGCATTGATTGGACTGGGAAGCGCACGACACCCTGACCCGGCATGTAGGGAAAGCGTTGGAGGGGCATGTTGGAGATGTACGTCGGGGCGACAACAGACCTGTGAGCTAAAGCGATAAGCCCGAGCGCTGATGACGGCGTTACGAGTGCAGCGAGCCTTGCCATGCCCTGGCCTGGCACCTGAGAAGACAGGGAGATCATTCCTGCTGCAAGCCCATGCTTTGAGCTGGGGCAGGCACCAGAATTCTTGCCTCAAAGGGTATGGGATGCGTGCGATTCTTATGACTCTTAGCATCGCTACACTACACAGAAAAGCAAGGGAACGATGACATTTTTCTGAGAAGACGACCTGAGGCTCAGCCGGAACCTGTTTGGTCGGCTTCACGCAGGCTGGGACATGTGGGGGTGTCAGTGTCTTTATGTCTTTGCTCTCCACACAAGTCAAGAGCATGCAAAAAAAGGAACTGAGCCTGCTTGACTGGCTCCTTAGCTCGACAGGCAATGATGCGTGGAACCGTCACGCGACACACGATTGGGCTCTGGCAAGCTCCTCAGGCTCCTGGAGCCGGTCTCTCTCACTCTCTCCCTCCCTCCGTCGTCAGACCCGCGCTCTCTATCTCTCTCTCTCTCTCTCTTCTTCTCCCAGGCTTAGAGGGCGTGTTAAGCCTCGCGGGCGTTCAGCCTCCCCCTCTCTCGCTCTCTCTCTCTCTCTCTCTCTCTCTCTCTTGCTTGCTTGCTTGCAGGGCGTGTGGGGGGGTAGGGGCGAACCCTACCACCCCTGCGCGCGAGCGCTACGCCGTGGTTCGTGTTCGGTGTGAGACTGTTGACAAGCGTGCTGGCTTGGCTTGCCCCCGCACTCCGAACATGCCATGTTTAATAACTAAAAACAGGGATCCCCCCCCGTGCCAAGCACGCCTGTATCTGTGTTAGCTGGTTGTGGATATTCCACAGCTCGCAGGTTCCTGCCAGTTTGGGTCCCCATTAGAGTAGGCTCATCACAAACCGTAAGCCGTAATGCTGCAGCAGCTAGTTCAGTATCGGGGGTCCCTTACAGCTTGGCTCAAGTGGTTTGTGGATGTATGTTGCTGGTAGTGCCGGTCCCCTGGGGGTGAGCACCAGCGGGTCAAGGCACAACAACGGTAAGGGAACGTCACAACCTGTTGGGTCCCCGCACTACTGTGGTGGTGGTGCTGTGGCAGGGAGACGGCGGCCTTTGAGGTGGGAAGCAGAGGGCAAGTGTAATAAATGCTATGGGGGAACGTCACACACTGAGGCCCCGACATGCCTGTGCGGTGGTGTGGAGGTGGGGGTGTGAAGGTGGCCTCTTTAGACCTAGGCCTGGAAGGTAAAAAACTGTACAAGCACGCAAAAAGCTGGTCTGGGCTCCAGCATGGAAGATAAGTACTCATCGTATGGGCGAGCGAGTTCACACAAGCCCCGGAGTGAGAGGAAAGGAGGAAAAGAAGGGAGATATAGATCCCCGGCAGCAATGCAAGGGGAAAAGGCTTCGCAGTCCCCGAATTCCGGAATGATCGGATAGGAGAATCGTCTCTCTACGATTCTTAGGAAAAGGCTGGAACGAGCGGAAAGAAGGGAGCACGGGGCCCCCTGTAGCCCAGAAAACTGACTGAAACCTGAAAAACCGCCCCTCACGTGCGCAACTGCTTGTCGGTCTTTTCTCTGTCTGCGCCGTGTGGTCCCTGCTGTTGCTGCCGCCTCACCCTCGTTGTAGTTTCCATGGCACGCCATTGTAGTGTGATCGGTCCTCTCCCCCGTGCCATGAGGGACCTTGGAGGCACCGTTTGCGTTGTTTGGGGGTCGTTGTCCCCTTGTCCCCTTCGTAGTGTGACGATGCCATTCTTGGTGTCCTTGCCATTTTCACGATCATCCGGTCGCTCTTGTCCCTCTTCCAGTCTGTGGGTACTGCAGCGTCTGCTTCGTGTCGAAGTCGGCAGTGGGGACGAACCTGTGTCGTCTTCTTGAACCCCTCTTCCAGCTGGTCCTCGTAGTACCCGTGGATCGGCAAGTTTGCGAAGGGTTCCGCGATCAAGTGGCATGCTGCTCCCCCCTACTGCTGGGCCACTCCTGGTTCGCTGCCAAGGGCAGGGTCCCGGGAGGCCAGGTTCAAGGGAAGTCTTGCGTGGTCCGGCAGGCAGGGCCCTTGAGCCAAAATGGCTACCTCTCTCTCTCTCTCTCCCGGGCACGAGGGACGGTCAGGTCCCCCGGGCAGCATGCCCACCCGATGTGTTATCGGGTAAAGGGGTGTGAAAGACGAGTGTAGATCTCTGCTCAAGCTAAAGCCATCAAATATACGATAACTAACTGCCATGATCGTACTCTCTCTCTCTCTCTCTCTCTCTCTCTCTTCAACACGGCTAGGGGAGCGTCACTCGCGATCTCTTTGCTTGGCTTTGTTCCGGGGTATGGATCGTGGGCAGTCCCCACGACCCGCGCGTTCGCGCGACCCCATCCATCCCATTGGACAGATGGGCTTGGCTGTACACGGAGTATGGTTTCGTGGGATTGGCTGGTGCCCATGTTCGTCCCCAAAGAACAGCAACAACTGGTACCCACTAGAGACAGGTCTCCCAACACCGAACACGTTTACATATGTTTACATATTGTCACTAGGTTCCCTGGGCCCCGAGTCTTCCCACTGTTGTGTTGGGCTTGTGCCCTCTGTGCTACTTGAAACCAACCTTTCGCGAACTTTGCTCGTGACCTCTCTCTCTCTCTTTTCTTTCTCCGGGCCTGAGGGCGAGCCCCCGCGGGAGCCGCCCCTCTCTCTCTCTCTCTCTCTCTCTCTCTCTTTCTCTCGCTCCACCGACTCTAAGGAGTGCTCTATTTGCTTTGCTGCGCTCTGGGCATGGGGCACAGGCAGTCCATCTACCCCGTGCGCTCTCTCTGTATCTCTCTGTCTCTCTCGTGCTTGCATGCTGGGGGTATGGAGGTTTAAATGACCCCTTGGCCCCACCCCACACCACATTCCTTGTTTGCAAAGTCTGTGAAGCCCATTGAAGCCCTGTCGGGGCTCTCTCTTCTTCCACAGGGCATACAAGGGACTGGTATAGGGGCCCCAGTTTCTGGTGCTTTGAAGGGAATTGAGAGACATGTGAGCTTCCCCCTTGCTTGAGTAAGTCATAGGCTTCAACACGTGTAACAAGGGAACTCACAGTTGGCAAACACATGCTCGAATTGGTCGTTCCCCTTCTTGTATCTGTCAAAGAAGGAATACCATTAAGTTAGGGTGTCGAAGGTGTACGACCGACTGTGTCCCCCTTCTATCTCCTCCTTTCGGTCTGCAAGCAATAGAACTGCAAACAAGTGCAGCATCGAGGCAACATAAATTCTAAAGAGGAGGGGGAACTGCAGGCGGCCACTGTAAGTTCGTGCTCCACACTCACTCTTCCAAAGCTTTCTTAGCCATCACAGTGCGCAGGCAATCGGATTTTGATACTGTTCTCCACTCTACACTCCGGTTTCACGGACACATCAGTTTCAAGAACAGCACCTTCAAGCTGGTGTCCCCTGTCTGCACTTGACGGACAAGCCGTAGTGAGAACCAAAAGCACACATTGAACTGCAAGCCCATCCCGAACATCATCAAGCGAGGGATCACTGGAAGTCAAGGCGCCGAATTACGGAGGCATGTGTTGTCCCCCTTCAAGCCGGCTTTCGCCATGACAACATACCGTAACATGCCTATAGTCGAAAGTAACTCTCTTTCTTTCGCCAGGGTTATGATGCAGGGGCTACCCCGAAAGTCTCTCTCTCTCTCTCTCTCTCTCTCTCTCCCTCTCTCATACAGATCATAAGCCGCATGTGAGGAAATGGCTCTGCTCCTCCGGCAAATTTATGAAGGGACCTCAGCTGTCTTCGATGTCTATAGAAGGCAGAGATGGCCGATGAAATGATAAGCTCCAGGCCATTTGGAACGTCGGCACGCTTTCTAATTTCGCCGATCTTGTAATCCTGCCACCGAAGTTCTTCGACTTCTGTATCGTCTGAAATGGAGTGATGCTGATGTGCGAAGAACCCTTCCTGAAAGTCTTGAATTTGAATGGCCCAAAGACTGTTGATGCTGAATCTTGCAAATCCGAGTTCCCTCGACTACAGTGCCTTACAGGGTATTGTAACGAAATGGAGAAGCATGGTGGTGCATGATGCGTTTGCCTTGAGCACCTCGCCGTCTGCGAAGACATCCACCTGGCACGCAAGCATGTGTCGCGAATGCTGCCAACAGGACGCCCACGAAGCACATGTGAAGCAAGAGCTTGCAAGACGTTGACAAAAGAGACGGCAGCGCCAGAAGGTCTTTTTCTGGATCACCCCTGGAAGCAGAATGAGGGAAGGCTCACACTCAAGAGAACCCTTCGACCCGTCTGCCTGCCGCTTGCCACGGTGACGTATTTGCCATCTGGGGTGAAGTGCAGGTGGCCAGTACCGCCTTACAACAAGAGGTGCTTTCGCCCACAGATTGAAGTCGCCTCCGAGACCCTGAGATCCTTGCCCTTCACACCGTCTGGCCCTTGTCGCGGCTTGTACACATCTTCCGGGGAGTAGCTGACGATGTCCGACCTCAGAAAGAGCAACACAAGTAATGCACAGCACAGCAGAATGTTAACTTGTCCTCACCGAGCTCCAAGCGCCTTCTGCAGAGTTAGTCGGCCTTTTTTGGAAGCCTTCATGCTTGGCAGCTGCCCAGGAACTCAGGGAAGCGGCCCAGTCCCTTGCGAAGGCCTTGCCGTCGTCAGTGAGCGGATCCTTGAAGACGTCTCTGGCCTAAGTGTAAGACAACCCTGAGCAAAACCAAGAGAAGCGCCATGCGAACCGCATGAGGCCTCGCCGTTCTCGAGCACGATTTCGGCGCACTTGAACGCGACCTAGTGGCTGGCGGCAGCTCACAGCAGGGACCCTTAATAAGAAGAAATCGCTCTCCACATCCTTGCAGGATTCTAGTCTGCTAGTCTGCCAATGCCTGCTCTGATCTTGATTGGAAGCAACAATCCGCAATGCGATGCCTGGCCTTGAATGTGTCGCGATTGACCTTCTGCAACAAGGCGCCACCTCAGAAGAAGATTTTCCGACATGTTCGAAGGAGATTCAAAGAGCATCACCGGCTTCACATGGTTTGAGCTGAGCTGCCACTTCCGAACGTGATGTTTGCCGCAGCGATGCCCTCTTCCTAATGGGTGCATGCTCACGACCTCACAACTGTCATGCCGGCGATCCAGCACGCCTTGAAGCGCTTCAAAATCTTCGGAATGGACTCGTAATCAACCTTGACACGGACCGTGACAGTCTGCTGTCTGTGGCCGTGTCTTACGCACTCAACCTCAGTGCCAAGCACCGTCGCCCTGAATCACGCGGATGCATGGCGGGAGCAGCTTGTGTCCAGTCCTGAGGAGAGTGACCCTGCCGAGCTTACTTGCTACACGCATTACACTCTAAGCGCTCAGGAGATACACCGAGCCGGGGCACTTGGTCTCGGTGACATCCTGGTCACGAACCCGCGGGAAAGTCTTCTTGCCTCTCTTGCTGCCTCTTGCATTAGTCTCAGGTCCCCGTGCAGGGGTTGATTGAAACAAATGAGCGCGTCTTAGCAGCTTCTGCCGTCGCAGGGTCAAGTTGGTCAGACGCACTGCACACAAGGCTTGTAGGTTTATAGCATAGTTAAGCCATGAATGTGAATATACTCAGTTAACCCTCTGCACACCTACGGCAAGCCATGCAGTGACAAGGGCCAAAGCTGTCAGAGGACCGTGCACATCAATGGGTCGTGGTCCACTTGCAATACCCGACCCATGGATGGGCACGGTCTTCTGAAAGCTTTGGCCCTTTTCACTGCATGGCTTGCCGTAGGCGGGCCGGAGCCTGCCGCCCTTTGGGCACCGAACGGGCAACTGGCGGCTGCTGGAGCCTGAGCCTCTCGCTGTTGAGCCAATGCTATCTTGCATAACTCGTACAGGTACATGTGGTTGTTCTGCTTCTCTTGCTCAGCCAGAGCCCTTTTGTTAAGCTCCGCCTGCTGTCTGTTCTGCTCGGCCTGCTGTCTGCGCTGCTCTTTCATCTGCTGTAGAATTGCAGAGCATTCACGTCACTTGCCTCAAGCCGAGGTACAGGCGCCTCCTCCTCCTCCTCCGCTGCGGGCGCTTCCGGTGCCTGTGCTTCCTCTTTTGCCTTCATCTCGCTGTGTCGGCCGAGTCGGGCCAAGTCTTCTGACGTGGCCGGCTCCGTGGGAGACCACAAGGTCTCCTTCTCGCACTCGTCGCCGGCTGCCTCTTCTTCGCTCTCTCCACCCTCATCCCGCTCTGGGAAAGGCTCCCTACCCCGATCGGGGCTGGGTACGTAGTTGTTCACATCTTGCGTACTAAGGGGCCGAGGCGCCTGGGATTCCTCAGAACTCTCCACTCCGGTGTTCCCAAGCACTTGCACGGAGAGCCCCTGCACTTGGAGCCTCCGTCGTTTGGCGTTCTGAGTTGCCTTGCCCGCCTGTCGCATAAGGGGTTCCTCGCCAGCTGCAGCTCTAAGCTGCTCTTGCATCTTCTCGCCGAACAAGCCTAAGGCTTCTCGGCGTCCTAACCTTGAGCCAGTGGTCGGAGGCCCCGTGCAAAACGCCCCCGTTCGGCTGACATCCTCCGCGAAGCACTCGAGAAGGATCTTCATGATGGCAACCTCGGAGCAGCGGCGACTCTCTCACCATCCTGAAGCCTGAAAACTGTGACCCCGACGCAGGTCTCTTCCGGATCTCCGCTGTCGGGTCGAACAACGAGCTGGCCAAAACTGCTCTCACCTTTGCTACAGTGTGAGAGGAGTCGAAGTTGGGAAGGGATTCTGGTCACACTCGGCCCCGGCCTACCGGACGGAAAACGTACTCAGCACAGCACTGATGCGACCTTTGATCTTCTCTTTGAGTTCACCGCCCCAGTATTCCCTGGCAGGTCTTCTGTTCCAAGCTACGGTGCTAAGCGTCCTCGTGCTTCCGTAATGCTGATAAGAACATGTCTGCAGCTGGGACGTCGCTGCCTGCAAGCTTTGAAGACGTCGAAGGAGTCGCTCACACAGGCGACGAGGCCTCTGGTGCAAAGCTGCATGTTCACGGTTCACGTGTCTTCACGATGAGTGCAGCCAGGCCTGTCGGATACTGGTCCAGCATGTTTCGCATGGCATCGAGCTCGCCCTCAACCCCTCAAGTCCAAACAAGTCCAAGAAAGCTCAATCGACTCACTCGACTTCGCAAATAACTAAGTATGCGGCCCCAGGACGTGATCGTGGAGTGCTCCGATGCTGGAATAGAGTATCCAACGGCCTGCGACAACCCAGCTCAGCCACGGTCGTCCGCACTTTCTCTGAACAGTACAGGCCTTCTTGGCACCATAGTACTCTTGCGCGGCAGAGAGAGCAATCACGGTGTCAGATCCCATAAAGTTGATTAGATGGCCTTGCTTGTGCAGGCTTGAATCACTTGCTGGGAGGCCAAAACCATGTGAGCTGAGCCCAAGTACCCATGCCACCCAGCGCGGCTGACTCCACTGATGAGACTCCTCGGAAGCCGAAGTCGTGCAGCTTGAACGAGGAACCTGCCGTACGTCTTGAGATCACATGTATCTGCCAGTGTCACTATCGTCCTACACTTTCATCACATGCAAGGTTCATTATGATCCGACTGTCCATGGTTAGAGCGTTTCAACAGCATGCCATGCTGCCGCATCGACTGTGCAGTTGTGGCAGGGCAAACTGAAGACAGACCATTCCTTTGGCATAGCAGGAAAGGATACGCCAAGCGTTTGAAACTGCCTCGAACCCAGCAGCGATGCTCTCATGAGCTAGAGAGCATGTCATTACATTTGGAAGGTCCGAACACTACCTAGACCTATTAAAGCCTAAACTTTCTCGAAATTATCTCCGACTGATCCTCACCACGCGGTCCCACGAACCTCCAGGAGGGGCCCAGTCTTCACAGCCGGTCTCCTGGCAAGTGATGTTGCATCTTACACTGCGCCTTAATAGGCGCTGCTACCTCTCCGCGCGTCCATGGGTCATGCGCGTATGCATAAGAGTAGAATCTACTAATTAGAAATTCACGCATCATACACTTCCTACACCAACCTACCTGCCTGCCTGCCCGCCCGTCCAGCACCCACCCACCTACACACGTACACGTACATGTACACCTAGACCCAGACCTAGACCTGCACGTACACCCACACGTGCTCGCATACGCATACGTATACCCATACGCATACGCATACATACATACACACATGCGCATTCACCATCATGCACATGCACATACTCAGATCGTACCATACCATGACATGCCACACCAGAACAGACATGGCGTACATAATATACGCCTTGCTGTTTTTGAGAGAAAACGCAGCAAAGCTGTACTGCCCAGGAAGCTATGATCTACGACACATCTTAGCCAGTCGTTGCCATCAGCTCTCGCTTCCATGCAGCCGTATGACCAGTTTGCAATACCGACACTGCCAACCCTTAACCTCCAAAAAGTCTAACTCATGCGAGGGATGAATGCCAAGGCCAACCCAATCCATGGTGGTTCGACATCATGGGAGCGCAGCGAGCCCCCGACCCCGCCGGCTTCCGTGGACTTTAAGCCCACAAAGGGCGCATCGCGAGAAGGTAGCACCAGAAAAGTGCTGCCAGCTATGCTGGAGATGGAGCTGCGGAAGATGAGCTAAGAATTCAGCGCCCGTGTCGACCCGAGGGCCAAAGGTTTTGAGGCGTCGTGGTGCTTGCATATGTACACAAATCCGCATGTACACACATACATACACACAAAGACACATACAAAATTTTAAGCCAGACAGACAGCCAGCCAGCCAGGCCGGCCGCAGACAGACATACATACCTACATACCTGTACCTACGACCTACGTACCTACATGAGCACATACATACACACATGCGGCTTACATACATACATACATACAAACATACATACACAATATTACGTAGGTACATGCATACATACATGCGTACCCGCATGCCGACGGACATCCATCCATCCATTCATCCATCCGTCCATGCATAGAAGCAGGCATGCATTAATGCATGCATGCATCCATGCGTACATAAGAGCATATGTAGGCTATGTGCTCGGTTCATTCAGAAGTACCTGTGCGTATACATTGTTGGCATGCGTCTGTATGTTGTACATGCGTTAGTACATGCCTGTTTCTTCAAGTCTCTGCATAATCGAACAAGAAAACAGAGTTTTAGCGCGGCCACGAAACCTCCAAGTACTGTTGGATGGACAACTTCTGGTAGCGGCTGTTGGTCGCAACGGTCATGGGGTACCAGACCTGCGTGTGCATCCAACGTCGACTTTGCTACTACTGCAATCTGTAGAGTCGACAGCTACAGCTCACTGAAACTCAAACCAAAGCTGAAGTAAGGCACATCAGCAGCAAGACTCTTCCTGGCCTGCACCAGTAGCGTCTCCAGGAAGTTTGTGAGCCAGTAGCAGGCGGGGTCTGTGTTAACCACTGTGATGAGCACGGTCTTCGTCGGGACCACCTTACGCTTGAAGGTGCACGGGCTGAATGCAGCGTCGCAACTTCCAGGAATTCCAAACACGAAGCAACCTCAGCGCAAAGCAGTGCCCTCTGGGAGCGCCTGGACAGAGACCGTCCCGAGCGCAGGCTGCGTGCCGCAACTTGCAGCCGACAATGCGGTGCCTTGATCTTGACTGGCAGCTTGCCACCATGCTTCTCGAGAATGTACTCCCAGCCCTCCTTGTAAAATAGCTCCTCGGTAATTGCTTGAGGAACATCACACGCAGCTCGCATCCTGCACCTAAAAAAGCACATACAAGAGACGTCGAGAACCATAGCCCTGTTTGTAAGCATCGGGCTGGATTCTCACTTGTTCCATCACCGAAGTGCTGCGAATAGATCTTTGTCGCTGCATCAATCTTCTCTCGGGTAACCTCATGCCGTAATACCGAGTTGCAACCATGCGAAATGGCCGACAACAGCAGAAGGCATCCGGAGACGCAAATGCTTCAGTTGATTTTTTATCGATGCAAATAAATGGCTCATAGTGGCCGCTGCAACAGGCACAGCAAGATATGGCCGAGGTGCCACCTTCCCACTCAGGTAGCGCTTCAAGAAGTACTGCAGGCCTCAGGAACCAAATAGATTTGTGAGAGTCACAACAACGGCTGAACCAAACATCAAGACCCCGGCCGAAAAAGCAAACTTCATCCCAGCCCTCTCGATCGCAGCCGCGGCTTTCGAAGTAGCTGTAGACCTGACCAGTGCGGGGCATATCATCCCTTTTCGAAAGACCTCAAGGCTTGATAGCTTGGTCGCAAACGTACTGCGTCCCTGGAGGGTACTGACGCCAGTGGCTGACCTGCGCAGAAATCGGAGTTGCCGTGACCATGCAAGGATGCAAAGGATGCCTTGTAGCTGTCTGAGAGCAGCAGAATGTTGTCCATCCTCGGTCAGCTTAGCTGGCGCCCTCTGCGTCGATCTGGGAAGTTCCCTGAGCAGTCGGCCAAGACATGGTGCAGTGGCGGATGGCGGCGGCCCAGCCAAATACCTCCCTCGAAGCAAAAGCTGGAAAGGTGCCACGGTGCCAGGGTCGTCTGACATTTCAACTTGCGGTGATGCACTGACCACGAGATGCTACACCACCCACCCACCCAACGGTCGACTCATCTTCCGCGAGCAGCTGCCCAGCTGCTAGCCCTTGCACTTGCCGAAGTCTCGGTCGGTTCCGCCTTTGGCGCTCGCCGACTGCGAGAGGACGGCTGTCACTCTCTTGGACGGACCGAGTTTGGCGACGCCCGCCCCGTGCTTCGGGGCAGGCAAAGTGAGACAGTCTCGCTCTCAGGCGATCCCGAATCCCGCGCAGCTGAGCACTTTTTGCTCACGCAAAAGTGGTGTAAGGGCCTCCGCCGGACAGTTCCAACTCACTGCTCTCACGGAATCTTAGCTCTTTAGCTGCATTTGCTCTTTCAAGCTCTGAGGGAATGGCCGCCCGTGTCCCCTGAGCAGCTCACGACAGTTCTCGACGGCATGAAGAATCTAGACAGAGGCTTTCTGCGCATGCGAACGCGCTCGTGCACATGCACAGAGAAGAAGAAAAGAAGGAAAATAATTAAAAAAAAACGACTGGATACAACGAGAAGAAGAGGAGCTCAGAAGCTCAAGCTCACACAGCTCACTCACAGCTTCTCTCGCCAGGAGCTCAGGAGCCACAGCTGTTCTCGCCTGGTCCCGGTGAAGTCGCTTGCCGCGCCGCCGCTCTGCGGGCTCCCACTGAGAACCTCAAAAAAAAGAAGAAGCAAGGAAGCAAAAAGGGTTTAGGGATTTAAGGGTTTAGGGATCAGCGCAAGCAGTCAAGCGAAGGCCAAATCCTCTTGGAGGCACACTTTGGCCCCTCACCAAGGGAGCTGGGAGCATTGTACCTCAAGAGGACAGATGAGAAAGATCCGCCGTGCTGTGTCTTCCGGGATCCGGACGAACCAGGTCCAGGCAGTTTCGACATCTCAGTCACGTCGACATGAGATCTGTTCTGAGCAGCCTTGACAACTGCTGTGGTCGGGACCCAAGCTGCAGATGTGCTCTTCCCTGAAGGACACAAGGTCGAAAGATCAATCACTCTCGGCGTCTACCGGCCCCAAAGCCAAAGCCTTTGATGCCATTGACGGGTCGATCCTCCATCTGTTGCCCTGGCGCTCCGAGACGCTTTGAGACGTCCTTCCGTCGCGCCGCGGCACCGTGGCCTTGGTCTTGACGCTTCGCCGTGCCAAAGCCCCAGCCTGGCTGGGCACGCTGCACTCTACCACATTGTGCTATAACTTGCTACTTTTCGTTGTATAATACTATACATTTTTATATCATGATACTATACTGGTCTCCCTACGCTTTTGAAGGCTCGGCGGGAGGGCTCGGCAGCCGAGGCTTGGTCCGGCCAAGGGCTCCTTCCATGCTGCCGTACTGGGCCGGCCTCGGGGGAAGGGAAGAAGCTGAGAGCTGAAAGTGAGAGCACTCGCTTTCTCTTGGCCCACGGCCCAGGAACCAGGACAGCTCCGGCCTCGCCACTCGGAAATGCAGAGTAGGCAGGACAGCCAAAACGGGCAGTGCGTCAGCTTGCCTTCGCGGCCCTGCGAGGCAGAATGCTGTAGCGCGGCCTCGGCGTCTTTACGCAAGGAGCTTTGGCGTGGCGAAGTCGGCCAAGTCCCGTGATTTTAGGGGCTCCGCCCGTCAGGCTTCGCCTCCTGGACGTGCGCGCCTGGGCCTGGCCTTGCAGCGGAGACCAAAAGATGGCCATAACGTCATAACATGAGACAAGGCAACAAAATGACATGCACGCACATATGCATGTATGCATGCATGAATCTTATCCAGTCTTATCTAACCTAACGCAGACGTTCGACATGCAGACATCCAGACTTCATACATGCTTTGCCTACCTCCCCGCCATTCCCTGTCCACCCACCCACACATAGTGCAAATCTTGACAGGCCAAGAGACATAGCTGGGTCACTCTCAAGATCGGGTGATCCAGGCCACCGCCGCGGAGTGAGGGAATAGGCTCTGCCAGAGCCAATGTAGCCTCAGCATCTGCAGCAGGAGGCGAGACCACCAGCACGAGGATGCCTCCACTTAGAGCCCAACTGCCTGAGGCTCGTGGATACGCCCCCGGCCCAGGTACAACCAGCTGGCTGTTTACCTGCGGCTCTTTTTTGTGTGTGTGGGCCTTGCGATAAACCGGTAGGAACGAAGCTCAGAAAACTCGCCTCTCTGGGACCAGTTCCAAAGCCATATCCAGGACTTCGTCGATGGCGGGAGGAATATGCCTAGCCATCAGAGATTAGCACATCGCTGGAATTTACAGCAGCCTTCCGCGCCTCGGGCGGCGTGTCAGCGCCTCCATATTTGCCAGGCCTGCGACGTAGAGCAAAGCACGAGGCTGGCTCTCCTTTCCGGGAATCCCCTTGGACACCGACCCGGGCACTTGCGCTGCGGCCCGGAGGCTGCGGGTCTTAAACCTGGAGCATGGCGGCATGGCATGCTTGTTGGTATGATCTTTGCTCACAGCTCCCAGTCCCAGCCTGTCCCGCGCCCCACGGAAGGAATACTTCGGAGCACGGCGAAGAGTTGACAAGTGCATTACCTCGCATGGCATGAGGAGTTCGACTCTGCTGTCAGCATCTGGGGAGGCAATGCTGTGGCCGCGGCAGACTGGCCCACAGGCCCGCCCTGCGAAGGAAAAGCGCAGTGACAGTGTGGCTCTGGCGCCGTTCCCACTCCGACTCCGGCCTTCTCGCGCTTCGGCGTGGTCGCTCTGGCCTCGCAACTTCAGAAGCGGCTCACCCCAAACAGACGAGACACGTCACACCACGGCCATGCACCCTTCGCGCTGAGTTTGCTGGCTGCACTCGGCGAAGATGGCGGAATCCTTAGAGTTCACTCGATCCTCACAGCTGCACTGACTTGCATCTAAAGCAAAGACCAAGACATCCAAGAGGCTCCCCGGACTCTTCTGGTGGCACCTCCTGCGACTCCTGTCAATATCTGTCCATCTTCCGGGCAGAGTCAAAGACAACCCGACAAAACACGAATTGCCGTTCATAGATGTGCTCATAGGAACCAATGGCAGCTGGAGGATGCTCCTCTGACGGCTGTCCATTTTGTGCTCCTAGCAGCACGTGCTTCAAGGATCCAAAAGGCACTAGCAGCGGCTTCCCGTCATATCAGAACCAGATCCGTGGTCCTTTCGGAGACTTGTCTGACCCATTGCGAGGCGACTTCTCCATGAGACGCCGCACGCATACATTAATAGATCAACCCTGCATGCCAAAAAAAGCTATGTCTGTCGGTTGAGATGGTCCGGATGCAGTATGTCGCATCATGTCGCTAAATCGCTTTGCGACTCCCGAGGGCTCTTTGCCTCTCTCGGCTGTCCATAGTGTCCGGAGACCCACAATGGATCGCGCACACGCAGGAAGCATGCCGTCCCCATCAGAAAACAGGCATCCGCATTCCTGCAACCCCTGCACAGAGAGCTTTTTCCTGCGATTCGCCGAAGCGGACGGTGTCTAAAGCGGGAGTGAGAGCCCCCTCCGTTAACATAAAAGCCTTGCCTTAAGTGAAATCAGGAATGCAACTGCTTGAGTCCGTGGGCCGATGAATCATTCAAACCACTAGGCATACGCGGCACACCTGTCCCTGTGATGGTGAAACACAAACGAGATGTAAACAAAAGCATCAACCAACTTTCTTGATGATCTGCACGACGTCCTTGCCATCTGGAACCATCCAGCGGAGCAATGCAACTCGTTTTTTCGGGCCTCGTCCATAAGCTCGTGGTCTTTCCCACATCTTTGAGGATTGTGTCTCGCCTGGCAATTCAAAAATGGTGTTGGCCGAGGCACAAGTGTTCGCACCAAGAGCGCCGGCAGTGCGGACATTCCCCAAACGAGTGCGACTTTGAACCTTGGCTCCAAGCTCGAGCACTTCGAGCGCTTTCGTGCTCGACTCCAGGACATGGTCTAATCTGAGGCGAAAGCTGCGCTAGGAGAGACTTGTGTATCCGGACGCAGAAGTCCTGGCACGCATTCCGATCGTCTGTATCCCGACAGGGAGAATCGCCATACTTTGGATTCTCCATAGCCACGCGCGTGTCACCCGAGACACAAAAACTGCGATCTGGCGGCTGTCCCGTGATGATAAGTAACTGAGGTCCTCAATCTTGTTCTTCTCCGCTGGAAGAATTACTGGAGCCTTTGCAGTGGAGCACTCAGCAGCACAGCTGCTGCCGCTGCATCTGAGACGGCCACAGTGTAATCTGGAATCTGTCCTCGAGGTTTCGTGTAAATCCTCGCAGGGATGCGAGAAGAGGCTCGAAGATGCCGAGCGTCTCTCCCCAGATCCTTTGGTCCTCGCCTCAGTAGGCTCATGTATCTCCAGATCATCTCGACGAGTCCGTCCAGGTTCCACTCATGGTGTGCGCAAATGGGCACGTGGTGTGGCACCTGCGACAAAGTCATCTGACATCGCACAAGTCGGGCAGCTTCTGCACCTCAGCGATAATGTCGAGCTCTTCGATTGTGATCTGGTCGATCTTGTTCATGACGTAGACGCAGGGGCAATACTTCCGATTACCCTGATCAAGGAGCTCCATTTGCTGATTTTGCTGCGCACTACATCCTTGCAAGCTGTTACCATGTAGGTTTCTGAAGGTCAAGACTTTTTCTGCATCCACTTGCAGGCCTCAAGCGTGTCAATGATGTCGTCCATGGTGGCATCACATCTAATCGAGACTTGAGCATTGTTGATCTTATACTCTCGAAGAACCTCACGGTACAAGCGGTGCAGCATGAAGGGGGCGGATTCAAATCTGAGCTTCAAGCACCCATGATGCTCTCCTCATCACAGTCCTCTCCATGCATGATGGGCGTGTCTACTTGCAGATCTTTGCAGTCACCCGGAACATGGAGGAGTCCATGTTTCCTTTAGCACACAGCCCGGCGACACGTTGAGCGCGATCCCTCCCTTTTCCTGCAAAGCAAAACATGATCGACTGCTCAAGCTCATTCCGGCGACTTCAAGACATGCATGTTAAGTTGACGTCCCTCTTTTTGAACAGAATGTTCGGCGGCTTCTTGTTTAATCGAATCCTGATTGCAAGAAGACTTTACCCACGGATGCAGCAACGACTGCAGGCTGGGGTGCGCGCCCGAAGCCCTCGAGCTCATATTCGATCTTACGCTTGTGTAGAATCGGCTTCATTACATCCAACACCTTGGATGCACACTGAAGCGGAGCCAGTGACGGAAGAAACTGTGGAGAAGCTGAGGCGGCTTCTATCAGAATCAGGCTGCAGCTGTAGGCGACACTGATAACCTGGCAGAAACTTCGTCAAAGCACAGTCTTCAAGGACAGCGCATCGACGACGCGGAAGCGCCTGCTTACCTCGGCCTTTGCCATCCTTGGCTCCCTCGATGATCCCGGGCAAGTCCAACAGCTGGATCTTGGCCCCCTGCGATTTTCAACTTTGAGCCCCTGCAGATTTAGACTTTAGGGGATCCCTAAGTCCACCTTGTAGTTGAAAACGCCGGGGACACAGGTCAGAGTGGTGAACTCATAGGAGGCAACCTGGCAGGGACGAGACGCACAAACTGCATGAGCTCGTCCCTAAGCTGATCCAAGCCTCACTGGCACTTCCTGTCATCTTGTTTAGCAATGTCGACTTGCCAACCTGTGGACAGCCACATGCTGCCGCTGTAGACACGGTAGGCAGGTGGCTGAACATGTCACCGCCGGAACTCCGTGCTTATCACACATAAACAAGCCGAGACATGTCACTCAGCGCTCTGCCTGCACAGCGCTCACGAAAGGATTCTTTGTTCCGGAGCGGTTGGTAGCCACATGAGTCACTACAGTGACTGCAGGAAGCAATGCTTTGCAACCGTGCACCAAGGAAGCCCTGAATGGCCCTGCTCGTGGTGCTCGTGGCCGAGGCACGGATGGGAAGCCGATGAGGCCAACTCGAGCATCTCCGGTCTTCGAGACCTGAGCTTCCCGATGGCGGCCCCCACGGCCGGTGCCGGGTCCCGATCCCGGCCTCGAAGCCCTGCTGTCCTCCGCCTCCCCCGCTACCTTTCGTGCCCTCGGACACGATCGACGCCCGAAGCTTTGCAAGCTTGGCCTGCGGGCGAAAAATCTTCAAGCAGACGAAGCTCTCTGGGCTTGGTCACCAGCCTTGAGGAGGCCCAAGTGGGCATTTGTCGCTTTGTTTTTCTGAGTTCTGGCCATTTCGGCCTGGGACCAGTACTGATAGTACTGAGTACTGCATAGGGCCGCAGACAAAACCCTACATGCCGACCTCGATCTCAGCGATTTTCTGCAAAGCACTCATGGCTGCAAAGTTGCAGCCGAGTGCCTCGAAAAAGAGCAAACATGTGTGTGCATGACAGCGGTGTGCTAGCAGAGGCGCACCTGAAGGCAAATTTATGCGGCTCCTGGTTCGGCACGAGCGCACTGGCTACGCCCTCTTGAGCATCGAGCGGCGCACCAAGGAATGCTTGGAGTTGTCCCGACCCTTCCTAACAGAGAATAAGAAAACTCACGCAGAAACTGAGCCTTTTTGATGGAAAGCTGAGTCAGCCGGAGATTCAAGCGCAAAGCCTTGACCCCACACAGCTCCCAAGGCTGACTCAGAGAGCAACCCCTTGCTTCTTTCCCCCACCCACCAAGCACAGAGCCAGCAGTCAACTTAGAATTTACTGAATACAGGACCACTTGCTTGGCTGCAATGAATGCACTGCCCCTGTGCGCACTTCTGTACAAAGAAGCTCATCCGTCTTCAACGGCATGAAGCGCCTGATTCATGAAGCCAAGCCCATAACTTCAGCGGTTCCCTGCCCTGCTTTAGAGTAACATGTTGAACATCTCCCTCCCTCTCCCATCTCTCCCCAGCTACTCGGCATAATGAACCCGGGATCTCTATTCCTGCGGGTCTGGCTTGGAAAGCTCTCGCTGTCCCTTGCTGCTGCTCCGAGCCGTTGTCGCTGAGCCGTTTCAGAACATGAGCTGTTTCGATCTCCAAATTTTGTGCCTCTGGTGTCTACGCCCTGCAGCAGGCGCAGAGGTTAGGCACACTGTAGAAAAAAGCGGTCCAGATCTCAAAACTGGCCCGGGCTTCCTGTTCAGGCCGAGAGAGCCAAATGTGCCATGGTGCCCTGGTGCCCTTGCGTGATCGGCTTCCCTAAGGTTTTCTCTCCCTTGTGCGGCCATGGCCCGGAGTCCTTTCGACCTGGTGGGCGACAGCACGACTTGCATCGTGGCCGTGCAGAGCCCCCCCCCCCCCCCCCCCCAGTTTTTCAGCGTAGGATGCCGCGTCCCCCAAACGCAAAAGCAAAATGACATGACGTTAGCATACGATTGCGAGCTGCCATATTGGCCTTCAAGCTTATTTTTCTATCTTGCAGAGAGGCTCCGAGCTGCACTTTGATCTTAAGAGGCGGACATCCAAGCTTTAAGACTCCAAGATTTCTTGAGTTTGCCGGTGGCCATTGTACCATTTGGTTTCAATCTGGGCTTGCTGCCAAAGGTTTTTCGAAGGGCTCGCCACTCGATTGTCTTGGATTCTCTCTTGTGATTTCAAGTTTCCATCTTGACACCTCGGGTAAATGTCTGCACAAGCTGATTTAATAGTTTTGAAAACCCTGAAGTGGCCCCTGGCCTGTTACGCTCCCGCTCGCGAAGCAGCGGATGCTTCCTGACACCGCAACAACTGCGGGCCCCCCCCTGCTCAGCTCTTCGCTTCTGCCAAGCAGCTTCCATGAGCCGCTCTAGCTCCAGCTCCAAGTCATCTCGGGATGGCTTCACCGTGTCAGACTGTCCGCCTCCACCTCTGCCGGAACAAGGACATGGGGCCCCTTCGGCCACGCACAGGCGGGCAGCCTTCTCGAGGATTTCCCGTCGCGCTGGGAGAGATCTCCTCCTGGTTGCTGCACCATGTGCACTCATGCGGGGTCGGGTCGAGTCACCTCCATGAGTCTCTCCAAATCCAACTCCAAGTCATCTCGGGACGGCTGAACAGGCTCGTCTTGCCCTGCGAACGGAGAGCGTACTGTAACTTCTTTCAGCTCCGACGAGTCTTTCTCCGTGCCTTGTGAGGCGCTGGCTTTGGCGCTCGGGGATATCTCATCCTGTCCGCTGCAAGCGTGGGGAGAGCTGTGCTTGAATACTCTCAAGCTTCCAGGATCCGTAGCCCACCAGACACGCCCACCAGATGCACTCAATGAAACCCACAACAGCAACCTGCAGTTCCATCGGATGGCCTCCATGAGTCGCTCCAGATCTAGCTCCAAGTCATCCTGCAAAATGGCGCAGGGGCGGAGGTCACGGTGCTGAATCGCTGTGTGTCCCGCCTGTGATTGCTGATTCATGGTATCGGCCTGCCCACCTTGCAGCTGCACAGCAAAAGCAGGCAGTTCCTCAGACGTCATTTCCAGCCTTGCGATGCCGCCGCAGGGGCACTTGCGGGCATCTCTTCCTTCATGTACACTGGGCAATCCAGAAAACAGCATGAAACGAAAGGCTCCAAGAAACTGCAAATGAACCCAGAGAGCCAACGCATAAAAGTTCTTCACAACTGCTCGCTTCGGGCCTCCATAAGCCGCTCGAGTTCCAATTCCATGTCATCTTGGGAAGGTATCGGCATCGTCGGCTGGCCTGCGCGTCTCACAGAGTTTCACACACTTCCAGATCTAGTGAATCTAGTGCCACCTTCTGCAGTTCCTGCTGCGCTTTCTACAGTCTCAGCCTGCGGGACCAGAAGCTAAGATGCGTCACAGATGTGATTGTGCGTTGCCGCGCAGCCTTGTCCAACATGGTGGGCGGAGCAAACGCCTCAAGAAGACATTGCATACAAAAGCGAGCTGGGCTAGCAAGATGCAACCACACAAATGATCTGCAACTGTTCTCTTCCAGAGCTCTCACACCTCAAGTAACAACGGCAGCCATGTGGCGTCCGACGACGCGGCCACCGTCAGGAGTTAAACAGAACTACTTGAAATCTTCTGTGAGCTGCATGAGCTGCACGCGCGCCGAGCGCGTCTTTAGAAAGTCTGTCATTGAATTAATGGCTCAGCGTTGAGAGGCCTTCACCACATCCTTGAAGTCCATCAATGCCTGGTAAGCTGCCTTGGCATCCGCGGCATTTACCTTGGACATCATGTAAGGGCCGACATCCTTGCCCAAACTGAACTTGTTGAAGGCATTGTAGACGTCCATGGTCTGCGAAGCCGGCACGGATGAAATCATATGGCCTATGGCTGCATTGATGGCGGTATAATCCGCAAGCGTCGCCACACCTTTCGAGTCCATGTTGGCAATGGCCTGGCTGTGCGCCAAAACACCCGTCTTCAAAGCTGCTGGGTCCATTGAAGCACCCATCTTCAGCATGGTGTTGATGGCCTGCATATGTCCCAGGGATGCAATGAGTTGGTTTGATTGAACTTTGCTAGGGTTGTTTTCAGGGAAAGGATTGCTAGGCTCTTACCTTAAATGCGGGGGCGATGGCCTTAAGCACATCCAAAGCATTCTGCGTGGGCAGCTTGGCATACACATCGGAGGTCCAGTCGATTTCCTTCAGGAAGGGATAAGACTTCTCCGACAGCACCTTCGCCGCATCATCGATCTTGTCCGCATACGCAGGAGCTGCGCCTAGCATGCCCAGTGCTCCAGCCCCCACGGCCGCAGGGGCCACGGTGCGAGCAAAGCGGGCGGGCGCAGGCACAAAAGCCGGCAGGCTGCAGAGGCAAAGCCCCAAGATCAGGATTGCAACTGCGCGTGCTGCCTTGGCCATGATTCAAGAGCTCCTGCAACGGCTTGCCGGGAAGTGACCTCGAGCCCAAAAGCCTGCACAGAGCAGTCTGGGGCTAGCATCGGCTAGGAGCACGACCAACAAAATACAGAAACCGGAATCATACAGATCAAGTGGGCAAGCGCTTGGGTGCCTGTATGAAGTATAGGGAGAGCTACTGCACAGCATAAAAGCAGCACCAAGCCCCGCCAGTCCCGCTCACTGATTACATAAGAAGAAAGACAAGCGCAAATGACGAGGCCTGGTCTTTGACCGTCGCAGCCACACTCGCTGCCTTTACACGATGCCAAGCAGTCGGCATTTTAGCATCGTCTTTCGCAGTTGTCCGCTGCTTCCATGTGCATGTGTCCCTCACTGCTTCTGAAACTCATCACTGCAGGGACAAGTGGAACATGGTTGCTGGCTCGCGAGTTTCTGGCTCGCCTCATCCCGGGCCGTGGGAGCAGCAGTCGACGCCTGACAGATTAGGGCAGGCAGACGTCGTGCCTGCTCGCTGCATGCTGTACTCTGCGGAATCAGATATGTCCAACCCGTGGGAGGCTCGTGGTCGCTGTGGGTGGATGCACTTGCAGGCCAATCAGTGTTGCTTTCACAAAATTGCACGCTGCAGAGCTGAGTTCGTGGATTCGCTTGCAAAGTATCGCAAACTGGCCAGGCACATGTGTGGATGGGTTTGGTTTGTAAGCATGTGAGCTCAGGCTTGTGGCTGGGAGGAACAGGCTTCACACAGCCTTCACCATGGACTACCGAGATTCAATGCGTTTCAGTGTCATCCCCATCTCAGGCCTGTTTTTTCATAGCTCAGCCACTTGTTTGTGATGACTTGCCGGGACGAATCAAGAACATCAAGACGTACCATCGGAGGTCTGGAACATCGCCGTTCCGTACTGCTTGAGACTTGTTTGTTAGCGAACCTCATCCATGGCTGTGGGAGCAGCTGGAGCAGCCGATGCCTCAACTGGCATGCATCAAATCATCCGACCTTGTGACTCCCGCCATCTCCCCGCCTTGACGTCTGCAAAGCTCGATGCCTCTTCAGCCGTTCTTGTGCACTGCAGGACACGTCCGTGCTTGTTCAGCTAAAGAGAGAAGTGCTGCCCCACACATCTTATCTTGCAGCATCTGTCAAGCCGAGAACTAGTGCCCCCAAGAGCGCCAGTGACCACTAGTGCATAAGCAGGAGCACAAAGGCACAATAAAACAAAAACAGGCTGCAGTTGAGGATGTTGTATTTGGAACGTAGCATGCAAGGCCGTACAAAGCATGTGGAGGTGAGTGGAACGCTCATGTGGTTATGGTCGTCGTCGTCGTCGCCACCACTCTAGTCACAGCCGCAGGAGGGGGGGGCCTCGTCGGCCGTGGGAGCAGCGGTCGAGGCCTGTTCCATCGCACAAAGAGCTCATGAGCCTCTCACCAAAAACCCAATGAGAGACCTCATCGCGGGCAGTCGGAGCTGCGCTGGCAGCCTCTTGTCTAGTCTCCACATTTGATGCACAGCTCGAGGGTGAGCAAAACCAAACCTTGTCCATGGCAGCGGACGCAGTGGCCGTTGGCGCCTGCAAGCGCCAAGACGTGACAATTAGGCACTCGCATCTCGCTTTTCGCCTCCCGAATCCCAACTGCTGGGAGCTGCACGGACGCAGCTGCAGTGGGCGGATCCAACTCAGTCGGCAAACTGTCGTAGGCTGCATCCAGCCTCGGCGTCGAACCATGCAGGCAACGCACCTGGCACCGAACTCTGAAGGGCCCGACAGCCTTTCCAAGTCTTCTTCCAGCATTTCGTCGTCCTAAATCACTTCAAGCGGGCAAGATTCTGGCGACATGTCAGTAAAGCTTGATGCAAGGCGACACCGTTGGGCGCATGCATGTGACCGAGATTGACAGTGTAGTAAGTTGAGAGCTCAGCCTGTTCGGTCTCAGCCGCTGCATCTTTGCCAGAAGAGGCTTGCGTTGCTGGCTTGCCTGACGATGTACTTTTGAGAGGCATTCAGATTCCTTACGGATGTCTGCTTCACCCGATAGCAACGCTTCTCTGCCTGCGGCAGATGGGTCTCCCATGTCCGCATCACCGTGGACCTCACCATAGAAACTTCGCAGAGCCCACCATAAAGGGGATTTCACACTTCACACCTCTCCAAACTCTCTCCTCGCCTTGGCCTTCTTTGCCGCCGGCTCCTCCTTTGAAACCTGGCTGGCGGCCGGCAGGGCTGGGCGGCCGGCAGGGCTTTGCTGCGCTTTTGATCAAAAAATGGGTGCAGTGGCCTCGCCCGCGGCACCCCGGCCTGAGCTTGAAGTTTTAATGTCCAAGTCATCTTTCTTTTTTGGCACGGTACGAAGATCAAATCTATGCGCTGAGCATGCGCTGCCGCTAGCTGTTGGTAACATTCGCATAGTACGGTTGCGCGGAACCCGGTAAGTGACCAGACAGATCGTGTGCGGTAAACTGCAACAACACAGCCAATGGCTGACTGAGCATGGAGGACTATGCGAAAACGGTAGAAGGGTAAATGCAAATCAACCATAGATGCAAAGATACGAGCAACATATCCTATACCTTACGTGCTAAACGACCTTAAGCCCTAACCCCAAGACCCCGAATGCCCGCCCACAACCTAAGCCTCAAACTGACTCGAACCGAAATCCCAAGTATCAGAAACTGAACAGCAACCCTAAACCCGATAGCCCCAAATATTGAACCCTATCCATTGAAGTGCCAAATGCCTTTCCCTCTGCGCGTTTTTGTTCATGACCCCACTGACCCCAAGCCCAAATGCGAGTTTCTGAAAATAGGGGACCCCGTTTTAGTACCCTAAATAGTATGGCATCCGTATTCAAAGGACCCCGAAATAAGGTACCCCTTACTTTTGGAAACTCCCAAATCATCAGCTGGCTTGGACCGGTGCCGGCGCCTTTCGCTGGCATCAGGCCCAGCTCAATCAGGCGGCGACGGACCTGCGATTTGAAAGGCTCTGGAGATCATGAGCTGAGCAAGCTACTTGGGTATCAAGCGATGAGGCTTCAGGGTATCAGAGGGTCAGGTCTTATGTTTCATGTTGCGGGTTTAGTGCTGCAGCTTCTGTTTGAGCATATTTGAGCATGCGAAGCTGCGAAAAGCTTTCATGTAAAGCACGCACCTACGTCTGTGCGTGTATGTATTTATCTGCACATGCATATACGGCACAAGTACGCACATGCACACCAATATGAACACACCCATGCTTACAAACTTGCGCACGCAAACACACACATGCACATGGATGCACTGAATTACACTGCATACCAGGCGTGTGTGCATACATGGATTATATATACGCTACACACATATAAGCTACACACGTACTACAGCGCGTGTCAGCACACAGATACCCACGTACATAGCTTATGCGCACTTGACACAAACACACAGATAGAGTGTCTAATGTGTGTCCTCAAAGTCACGTTCACACCTACACGCTCGAATGCGCGTTGCAGGCATGCACGACTTACATATCTGCATCATGCATATTGGGGATATCTACATCTGAATCTAGATGCTCATATACACATACAGTATCTCGACATATATGCGTGTATGTATAGTATGTAGATGTGCATGTACATGTTGCCTCGACTTACTTCGCTTTCTTTGACATGCATGATTTCTATTGCCACCTGCTGTTGACAAACAAACAGCACAATTTCAGGACATATTACACAGTGTGACGTCTGCTTGCAAGTCAAGGGCGTAGTGATTAGGGCGGCGCCTGCACAGCCGTTCGATTGTTGTCTTCTGGCAGCTCGGCGACCAACACTTCTGCACAAAGCGGATGCTCTTTGTACCTTCATTGAACTCCCACTCGTTTAAGCACTGTCACTCTGGCATGAGCTGGAACAGCACGTGTAGCAGACACACAAGATGGCCACTGACGCATCGAACAGAGCCGAGGCACGCCGGGTAGCACCGCCGCAAAACGGCATCCTCCTCCTCTGTCCAGCCCTGTCCCTTCATCACATCGGCACGCCTAAGCGCAGCGATGCTCAGCGGCCCACGATTTCGCAAAATCTCCCCACACTTGGTGCGGCACTGCTTCTTCATTGCTGTCAGCGTATCTCCAGCATCCATCCTGCCGGTAGCCACGACCCAGGCTTGCGCACAAACATGAGTGGCTTCGCCAGATTTCGCTTCAACGGTCCTGTCCAAGATTCGTCGATAGGCTTCTTCTTCGTAATTCGTCAATATAGCACCGAACTCAACAGCGCAGGTCCTGACATTTCCGTTCAGTGCAGTTTCAGATGTCTTCAGTCTGCGAGGCCAAGAGTGCTCTTAGCTCCAGGCTCCAACTGATCCTTTTGGCTTTCCTGGATTTTGGGGAAGAGCCTGAAGCTAAGTCGTTAAACACTAAAGGTCCACGGTTATCAGCCAATCCAGGTGACTGAGCACGTGGCAGTTCCCCAAAGACGCATTTGTTGGTATCGGCACACTTGAAAAACTCGCGCAGGATGAAGCGGAGCAAGCCTGGCGGATCGGAGAGCAAGCTTAGCTGTTTCCCAGAATATCCCAGAATGTCGCTGCTCTCAACATCTGGGAGGAGACCCAGAAGGTCTTTGTACTTCTCTGCATTCTTCGTGCTGATCAGCAGTGGATCGGTCATGATTCTCTGAATGCCTGCTGCAAGAATAAGGATCGAGAATCTAGAGTTTAGATCTCAGGCATGGGTGGCTTCGCCAAGGCAGCCACGCTGGAAGTAGGAGACCTCGAAGAACAAGACGATGTTGGTGGGATGTGCCTCGCTGCGAGGCACACTGCAGGCATTGCTCAAGGAAACCGAATGCCTTCTCTCCATGGTACCTGCATGATGCTGTGGATCAGCTTTACGAGCATGGACTGGAGTGTCGGTGTATGTCGCTTGTACCTCGTCCGACGCAATCTCACCCATGACGCGAATCAAAACCTTTGCATTCCGGTTCACTTCTCCAACAGGTGGAAGAGGTTTTGCACGACTCTCGAGTCGGCGATGCCTCGGCAGGAGAGGCTTGGTGGGAGGAAGGGGCAGAGCGCAAACGCCAATCACAACTTGCGAGCAGCCTGTGATCTCCTTCTCCACCGATGTGCTGGAACGCGTCATCTGCACTCCACGAAGCCGCTCAACCTCGACAGTCCATGGATTCAATCACGGCATGGCCCACATGCTGCCGGACGCCGAAACATCAAGGCCAGCTCCTGGAACTCAGCCTCGGCACCCCTGCAGGTCCGTCTCCGTTCTCTTGTCAGGAAAGCTCAACTGTGGACACGCCTGGCCTGCTGCCTCGTGTCTGCATCAGCATTGTTAAGTTGTGCCAAACCTGCATGGGCAGACGGGCACGAAAGCTTCCTTCAGAGTGGAATCCCATGCAGACGCCTCCACTGAGTAGGAGAGAATGCGAGGATCATGCACTGCAGAGTTCAAGTTCTTCATGATCCATGCGAGGTGTCCCAAGACATCCTCCTGTTGCGGGACCCGGGAAGAAGTCCAATCGAACTCTGACACAAAAAGCGATGTTGTGGCCTTCACGGTGTGAGTGACCAAGAGGTCTCCACAGTCTCGGGTGTCAGAGCCCTCGCACCTTGATAAAAGGCCCAGACAATACCGTAATCGTCACAAATCAGCTGCATGCTTTGCAGGTGAGGTGAGTTAACGTGCTCGCCGACTGGGACGAAAGCCCTGTCATGACCTTGATCGTCTGGACTTGTGCTGCCAGCGCCCGGAGAACGATGACCAAGAAAGACGAGTGAATTTGGGCGTTCTGTCAGCGCATCCGCTTGAGCTTGCCGCACCCGAACATTTTTTGCATGGGCCTTGCCGTATTCACGAAGCCGAGCGGTAGTAAACTGGATCATATCCAGATCCTGGCACATGTCTTCTCGCTCGCCATTAAGAAACTGAACCTAGGCGTAATTTGCAAGCAACTGCGTGAGTGAGGTCACGGCAATCGCTCCCTGGATCACGGCTATGTCCATGTCAGGGGGCCTCACGCAGGAACACCTAAGGACCTATACTCTCCAACCTATTGTCTCCAAACTAGCGAACAAGCCCCCTTCTTGGCGGCAAGCGTTGAGCTCGTTTTCTCCGCTTCCTTAACCTGTTACCCGAGCGGAATAACAGCTGCAGCATGGAGCGTGTCGAGGCTGAATGGCAGTTGGGCATCTCAGCTACGAATCATCGGATGCTCCCACCTGCATTGCATGCTGGACACGGTGGAACTCCAGGAACCAGCAAATGAAGTTCAGCAGGTGTGGCCTGTGTGCTCGCAGTAGCCATGTCGAGCAAAGCTTCCAACTCAGGACCGCACATGTCGAATTCTGATCCTTCTTCTTGTTGGCTTGGTTCTTAGCCAGCAGTCCATCGTGTGCTCAAGTGGCAGATGCACAGCTTTGCTGCAATAGAGAAACAGATGGGCTGTGGCTGGGCAGCATGCTGACTTTACAGCTGCTCCGCATGATGCTCACGAGTGAACTGAAGGAAGTCGAGCAGAGGTTCTCGAAGAAGGTACGGTAGCCTGGCACGTATTGATGCATTCGTGCTCTGACATGTGCCCCTGGATCAGCCCAGGTGATTTGCAGAATGTGGCGACCTTGAAGGATCTTGAGCGGGTGGTACATGCGGTCGTCGAGAACTCCCCGCCTCAGTTCAAGCACCCGGCTGTGACAACCCTTTCCAGTCCCAGCGATACGGGATGGATCGGAGGGAGCGGACCCCCCTTGGATGCAGGCACATGCGGATTGACCTGGTTGTACTCCCGAACAGACCTAGGCGGCTAGGCGGTGGAGGATAGCTTTCTCTCGACATGCTCAAAGCTATCGTAAGCTTCTGGATGTATCTTGTGTATGCGTACACAAGGCGCTCGGACTGTCGGAAAAAAGTGCTCGCGGCTCGCGCACACTCTGGCCTCTTCTTGTGTGCACCGAGTTCTCAAACAGTGTCTCAATGTGAGCAGAAATTGTCGGACTACTTTTTGAAGTGTCTGGTCAGTCACAAACAGTGGGCATGTGAGAACGAGAGGAGTTACCGTCGCAGATGCACGAAAAGACACATTATGAACGCGTTCACAGCGAAGAAAACAGCTCTTAGCTGCGGAAACCGAAGGCTCAAGGTAAACCATGCAGTCTGCAGAACCACCTGAATCTGTGCGAGCACAACGCAGTGGCAGCGCTGAGATCCTGGCCCTTCACATAGATCCACGAAAAAACGACTGTGGAACATGTTGGTCTTCTTCCCGCTCGCTTCAGGATTGCGGAACTCTTTCTTGAGAAGCCTGGGAGGACAGCTGTGGTTTCTGTCATCTGGGCAGCTGCAAGGTCTGGGAATCTCGCACGCCGCTCTTCTGCATGATGTTGTTGTGCTGCACGGACGGCGTCAACTTGGGGGACCAGGCTGCACACAGTACATGGGAAATTTCCTTGTACGTTCGCTGGACAGAAGGCAAGAAGAATCTTGCATGCCACGCAACCATCATCGAGCCGTCACGAGACATTGTCGCCATTGACCTGCGCTGAGTCCACTCATGGCTTGAGGCGAAACTCCTGCCCGAGAGCATTTCAATTAGTGATCCGTCTGAGGCATGAGCGTTCCGAAGCGGCTATGCCTGGAAGACCTCGGAAGTGCGGCTGCAGTTCCTGGTGTGTCAGAGAAGCATGGTCTTGCGCGTGATGCTGTGTGATCAATAGGCCCGCGGCGGCGGCGCCATGAGCTGACAGGGACACATGTGAGTTCATGTGACGCCGTGCTCGAAGACGTCTCTCTCACGGCCCGAGCCACCTTCTGGTCGGCCTTGTCCCGCGCCAAGAGGTCGGCCAAGTCGCTTTTCGGCCTCAGGCGTCAAACTTTGCGAGCACGACGCACAGGCGAGCCATGTCGAGCTGAGCAGAATTCCGGGTTGCATTCCGAGAGCCGTGCTTGCTTCGATCCTTGTTGCTTGTCAGCAATTCCTTCAGTGCAAATGCCATGGATATGTCAGGGAATCAGTCACTTGTACCTCGACGGGACGTGTCAACTCCTTTTCATTACAGCCGACTCCGCTCTGTATGGATTTCTATTCGAAAGGTTGTGCTGACCGGAAAATGGTCTGAAGGATACCGGCCACTTGCCATGGAATCGATGATTACCTTGCTCTGTAGTGGCTGTAATCTCGTGCAGCCTGTATTTCCTGGTAACCCATCCAGGAAGAGAATCCAATCAATGTAGCGGCTGTCATAGCCCCCTCCATGTGACAGATCAACCGTGCCGTCCCCTCGATCTTCGGCAAACGATATGCCTTGCCACTTATGGATCGTGCTCTGCACGCCACCGGTATCCAGCACACCCTCGCACCGGAATGTATCTTTCAGCGGGCGAGCTGCTTGAGTGGTTGGGCCAGGATTCCCCATCAGAACAGCGTATGGCTCACTGGACTTCGGGGAGTTAAAATCGCCACACAGAATCTGGGCACATGCAGGCATTCTCTCTGAAAAGCGCGCAATGGATTCAGAAATCATACGGGCTGACTCCAAGCGGGCAGTGGAACCTTGATGGTCAAAGTGAGTGTTCAAGATTCGTATCAATCCGCCAGACCCCAGGATGTCGAGCAATACCGCCTCACAGGTCCGCGGGAACCGGGCATCCCAACTTGGGATGCCATCAGGGACACCTGAGGATGACAACCAGAAGACCGAGTAGTCCAGGATTTTGGCGCGACCTGTGTCAATGATAAAGCCAGCTGACTCGTCGGGCTCGTTTGGCAACCGTGATGTGGCCTTCCACTCGTATTTGCCATCCAGATGTAGACAAATGTCGCGCAGCATTGCAACCGTCGCTTCTTGCACACATACAACGGCAGGTCTGTATTTCGCAATTAGGCTTGCGACCCCTTGGCGTCTTTCCGGCCAAGCATTGAGAGAGTCCTCCTCCTCAACCTTCTCAGTTCGCAGGTTGAAGCTCCAAACTTCGATCTCGCAACTCGAGGCGTCACCTTTCGTGGCGCAAGTCCTAGTCCTCACAGTTTTCAAGCGCGAAAACCTGGACTGCCGGAGCGAACCCAAGGCAAGCATGGGGATGGGGCCCCCGAGGCCGCCGAGCCACGAGGTGAGCCTGGGCCTGGAGATTCTCGACTTAGAGGGGCGCAACGGAGGTGTGCGTGCACACGCTTGAGTCGCATCTGAGCTGCTGATGACAAGACCGCCCGGCAAGCAAGCACCCGACAGACGACACGAAACCCCGTGGCCAAGCTTGAGCATACTCAGCTGACACTCTTAACTTGTTCGTCACATCGGTCGGAAGGTTTATTGCCTGCAACCGTATGGGACGGGGCTTAGCAACCTGCAGTCCACCGAATATATTGAAGCCAAGTCGCGTCAGGATCGAAGTGGGTGCATATATGATAAAGGATGTCGGCAATCGCCCAGACCTGCCAAAGGAAGGAGCCGAGATGCTGCTGTAGAGCCTGCAACACAAGGCGTATCAGGCCCTGGCCTGCTGAATGTCCTCTTGCTGCTGCTGCACAAGTTCGGTTGCGAGGAGCATGAAGAAGGTTAGCACGCCTGAGACTCCACTGAACGCAAGACCTCCTTTGCACTTGCAGCTGCCGCATCGAACCTTCTTCGCAAAAGTTGCGAATGAAAGTCATCCTGAGAGCAAGGCTGGTGGGCCAGCCGGAATCCGGAATTGAGGCAGGATGCAAAACTGAAAACTCGAAGGCTTCGACGAAGCTCAGGTCGAGGTAGCTGAAAGATCCAGCATGGGGAACGGCATGCGAAATCGGAGCTTTCAGTTCTCAAACTTGATGCTTTTGCGAGCAATGGATGCCAGGAGTAGTGTTGGCATCGCCCGGTGAAACCGAAATAGGACAAGGATGGCTGAAGGACCTTGTTTACCTTGTTTGCCGTGCTTGCCTCGTTTTGGCCATCGCTGGACAGAAACCCATTCGAGACTTTCGGAGGACAGCCGCACAAACAAAGATCAGCCGGAGTACGACTCCCCAACGGTCCTCGGCGCTTGCGAAACAAACCGTGAGCTTTCCCTTCAGCCGTCTCCTCTGGCTGCACTATGTCGCTTCAATGGACAGCTACTGATGCTGTTCCATGCCCGCATGTCTGTCACGTGTGGATCCTTTCTCTCTGCGATGGAAAGCGGATACCTGCATTCTCCTCACCGCGTGTGCGACCGAACAGCTGGAGAGCACAGCGGCTTGGTTTCGCATTGTCGCAAGATGTCACCGGCAGCTTCCGGCACAGCAGATTTGAGCAAGCACACACTACGCCGTGCACACAGAGAGGAACCCGGAGCGACTCAAGCTCTCTGCACGGAGCAGTGATGAGCGAAGGCTCTTTCGGAAAGCTGTGGCCGTCTTCGATGGCTAAGGAGCTGGCTGCATCCTTCCTCTGAGGGGCGTGTAGCCTGTGTCCCCCGGACCTGGATCCGGGACCTGTCAGCTTGAGCATGGGATGCGTTTGGTGGGCTCTGGGTCTGGCCGTCCCAAGCGTCTTTTCGGGCCCCGGCAGACACGAGATTTCGCAGCAGGAACAGGACATCCTGTCCCAGCAAATGCTTGGTGCCTCCCGCAAGCGTGCGGCGCTAAGCGGCTCCTTGAAGAGGTGCGCGCTGGCCTCGAGAAAAGCACATCCATGCCAGCAAAAGAAACATATGTCGCTAGGTCTAGGTCTAGGTGGGTCCGGGTGGCCTCTCCATCCAGAGCTCCTACGAGCAGTCGAACGATCATGGTGAAGATGGTCGGGTTCGTGAACGCCTCCTTGTAGTCCTCGCTGCAAGGCTTCGGAGGTTCAGAGCAACACAACCACACGAGACCAATATGATCCTGCATATGGCGAAGCTGTTCCCGCTCTTGCTCTTGAAGCATTTTGCGATCTGCAGGAGGGGGGCCGTAGATTCCTGACATCCGGAACCCAGGTGAGCCCTGAGAAGCAAAGCAATTCTGGATAAAACCTTTTGTTCCGGCCTACCCGCATTGTGAGAAGGACCATCAGCTTCAGCAGATGGGAAGCTAACTCCGAGTCCTGAAGGAAGGCGGAGGCTGCCCTAAGTCCTAAGACTTAGGCTACCCGTCATCTTGTGATTACCATAAACCAGGAGAATTTTGTGTGGAGATAGATACATGGATAGATAGACAGGTAGGCAGGCAGGCAGAGATACACAGACAGACCGACAGCCAGACAGACAGAAAGATAGATGGATGGATATACGCCTGCAAACGTACACATACAAATATGTACATATATGTATACACACATATATACACATATACATACATACATACATACATACATACATACAAACAACCGTCGCACTCTTAGCTCTGACGCCAAACTGGACGACTCTCTTTTTCGTCGTGTGGATGCATAGCGCTGAAAGCGCCGCTCGGCGCGCAGGTTCAGGTCCTACAGCCGGCGCCGGGTGCGCATTTCAGCACCGGCCCGCTGCGGACTGACCGCCGCCGATCCCTAAGGGTGGCGTGGGTGGGAGAAAAGCTTAGGCGAAGGTCGCGTCGAGCCAGAGTGCTGAAGGCAGCTACGCCGTTCACGGTTGTTACTGCGCACACAAGTGTGCTACACAACAACCGTCGCACTCTTAGCTCTGACGCCAAACTGGACGACTCTCTTTTTCGTCGTGTGGATGCATAGCGCTGAAAGCGCCGCTCGGCGTGCAGGTTCAGGTCCTACAGCCGGCGCCGGGTGCGCATTTCAGCACCGTCCGGCGCACCCTGCCCCACTACGCGCCGGCTCAGAGAACCAGGAAGTAGAGCAGGAGTCCAAATCGGCCGCCGCCGCATCCACTGCATAGACGATGTCGTCGACCGCTTTCGCCAGGATGTTCATGATCGTCGACGCCGGGGTGTGGACCCTCGTCCACCCTGTGCCCGGGAGAAGTCGTCGCGGGAAACTGCGTCGGCCACATTGGCTTTCGACGGTACCCGCCGGAACTGGATCAAGGTTCCTTTCTTCGCCGCCAGGGCCCAGAAGGCCGCCAGCAACCCGTTCACCGCCGGGTCTTTCCCATATCCCTTGGACAGCGCCGCCTGTCCCGCGGAGTTGTCGATGAAGGCGGTGAGGGCGCCGGGCATGTGGGCCGAGAACGCCGTGATGGCGACCAGTTGCGCGAAGATCTCGAGCATGTAGATAAATGCCCGGCGCGCCTGGAACTTGTGCAGGAACCAGGCTGGGACGACGCCGTGGTCGTAGAGCCGCCGAGGCGCAGAACAAACCCCCAGCCGTTGTTGGCACGGTTGGGCCGGGAGGCATCCGCCGACACCGGCACATGCCCCGCCTTGTGGATACGTTCCCCATCCAGGAAGAACGCGTCGGCATAAAGCACAGCAGTGTCCAGCTCGTCGGTGGCGAAGGGTATGAATCGAGGGCGGACCGTCGGCAGGATGTGCTCCAGGGACAGCAGCGCCGCCCGCAGCCCCGTGTTGAGACCGTCGGCCGAGTGCGCCGACGTATCCGCCGCACGGGCGTACACCGCCTTGGTGGAGGCCTTGCCCACGCCGCCGAAGACCGCCTGCGTGAGGAAGGAGAGTCTGCCCGCGAGCTTCTGCGCGTCGTCGGGCTTGAGCTGGTCCTCGTCGAGCGCCTTGCGAATCTGTGCTAGGATGCGTCGCACTCTCTCTGGTGTGGGGCTGATGGTGACCCCCCGTCGAGAGATAGCGAAGGTGACGCCTTGAACCACGTGCTGGGCCGCCGCCGGTTGGGACTTGGAGGCCTTGATGCGGAAGCCCAGCGCCGCGAAGAGCTCCTTGAAGGACTCGGTCGCCGACTCGCCGAGCTCCTCAAACTCCAGGCCGTTAAAGTCATCCACGTAGTGCCCCGTTGCCAACAGCAGGAGCCCTCTCAGCAGCTGCTGGAGGGCGTCTCCGCCGCGATTAAAGTTCCAGACCGAGGCGGTGGCGCCGAAGTTCATGGCAAGGTGGTACCAGAAGGTCCAGCCTTCCGCCGTGGCCAAGAAGGTCCCGCACTGCGCCGGGTGCTTGACAGGCCACTGCCTGTAGGCGCTGAGCAGGTCGTGCCCGAACACCAGAATCACGCCGTCGACCGCCATGCTGCGGGCGAGCTCGACGAAGGCGCCGATGAAATGGTGTGTCGGGACGTCGTCGGCGCTGATCGTCGAGTTGTGGCCCGAACGCCGCCAGTCCTCTCCCCGGCGGATCTTGGGATCACCATTCTCGTCGAGCTGGATGATAGCAAAGGAGGCCGCGAGGAATTCCTCGCCGGGTGGTGGCTCGACTAAGACCGCCGCGGCGTCGACCCAGGGGAGTGCCACTGCCTTGACCTTGAGCCACGTCGGTGGGCGCGCCGGGCCTATGACCCGCCCTAGGCGGACTTCGTCGACGAGCTCCTTCAGCAGGGTGTCGGTGTGCTCGCCGGTGTGTGGCGCTGCCACCTTGCGCCGCACATAGTCGGCATTCACCTGGCGCAGGGACTCCATGGACGCCGGGAACCTGTAGCGGTCGTCGGTCCTCTTCCTCCAGCCTGGGCCTGGGCGGAGGGCGCCGATCATGTCGAAGCCGTCGGTGAGGTCCTTCTCAAGTTCGCCACGTCGGGGTAGTTGAGGCGTCGGAGGAGCTCCAAGAAGACCGGGATCTGTGTGACCGCCGGCTTGTCCGGCGTTGAGTAGGTCGCCCGGACCGCCGGTGTGCGTGCCGCCATCCACACCGCCGTCTCGTCGGCGAAGTCCTCGATGAGCTGCCGGCGTAGTGTGATCCCCTCTGCCCACGCCAGTTCCAAGACCGGGTCTGTCTGGAGCGGGTGCGGCAGCAGCGCCGAAGCTCTCCAGTGGGAGTCCTCGTCGAGGTGTTCCAATGCGTCGGGTCCCGTCGGCTGCTCGGGTGCCGGGCCCATGATCGGACCGCCGTGGCTCCACAGCGCCGCCACCCAAGAAATGGTCGACTGGCGTGGCGGTCTTGTCGGCTGGGAGGTCGCCGTTCCCATGTTGGTGGCCACCAGGAGGATCAGCAGCAGGCGCCGTGCCACCCCCCAGTGCCACCCATTGCCGAGTAGGCGGTGGCGGGTCCGGTCGTCGAGGGTGCTGTCGCCGGCCTTGAGGGTGTAGTCCGCCGGCAAGTGGTGAAGCTGCTCCTTCACCTTGGCGGGACCACCTGGAGCTTCCCGTCGGCGCCGACCATCATGGCTTCGCGAAGGTAATGCCATGGAGCGAACTGCCGTCGGTCTGCGAGCCATCGCTGCTGTGCGTCGGCTGGTATCTTCCCCCTGCAACCTCTGGGCGCCGCCACCGTTCTCGTCGGTTGCGGGCGTCGTGGCGCATGGGAGGCGCCTTCTGCCGGAGAGCACACTGTCGTCGAAGGTGAGGCCGTCGAGTGTCATGGTGTCGGCCGCCCGTCGGGCCTCCTCGAGCCTGAGGCGGTCCCAGGGGCCTTTCCGTGCCCATTGCAGCGGTTCGCCGGTCCCAGGGTCCACCAGAGGCGGGGCCGCCCAATCCATCCGAAGTCTGCCGCGTCGGCCAGCACGGGCTGTGTCCCCAGGGCCGTCGAGATCTGCTTGGCATCCGCCGTGGACATCTCGACATTCTCGAAGAGGTAGCCGAAGCGCCGCGGAGCCACCAGCCGCCGCACCTCGAGCACGAACTCGACTGACTGTAGGAACAGGCCGCCCGATCGCCGTCGTGGCCTTGGCCGTCGGCTACCCTGGAAAAGTCTTGGCATGGTGGTGCGGCCGCCGCGATGACATCACATTCGCCGCCTGGGTCAATCTGCTCGATGAGTCGTCCTGGCAGAGGTCGCCGCGGTGTCGGATGCCCGGTACCTGGTGATCGGCCACCGCCGTGGCCGTGCGGTCCAGTTCCCAAGACAGGATGGCCGCCGGCTGTCCGACCAGATCCCACACCAGCCAAGGCGCCGCGCCGACACCGTCGAACAAGGAGAGCAAGATGACTTTGGAGCCCGCCGGGTGTCGGTGCTGGAGGCGTGGGCGCTTCTGCGCCGGGTCGGGTACCCCACCCTCTGGTCCGTCGGAGGGCGGGGCCCCGTGCTGTCCCTAGCGCTGCTTCTTCCAACCTCCGGCGCCGCCAGTGGATCCCTGGGAGCCGGATTGTTTCCAACCGCCGTGCTGTTGGGACTCGTCCCACTGCTGGCTGCGCTTGGCGCCGCCCCAGGTGTTCCAGGTCTGTGCGCCGCCTCGGCCGCCATCCTTGGTTGTCGTCGCGGCCGCCGCCCCCTCCCTGGTGGGGGAAGTACGGCGTCTGCTGGCCGCCGCCGCGGCCGAGCCCCTTGGGCTGCTCTGTCTTCTTGGGTCGTCGTCGCGGCCATCCGCGCCGCCCTTTCCCCTTGATGGGCTGGTCGTCGATCTCCTGGTGTGTCTCGGTCACCGTCGAGTTTGGCCCGCCGGTTTCCTTGGTGATCTGGACCTGCTTCTTCATGGCAGCCGCCGTGGAGTGGGCGATGACGTGCTCATTCCAAGAGGCCGCGTCGTCCATGATCGCGTTGGTGGCCGCGCCGAAGGTAAGGCCGCGCCGCATGTCGGCGCATAGCTTCCACATGGAGTCGGCCCAGAATGAGTGGACCGCCGGGATCGTCGCCTGTCGCGACCTGGCCTTCTCGCCGAACCAGTCGGTGAAGCGCTCAACGCGCCGTTCTTCATCATAGCCGCATATGATCCAGGCCCACTTGGCCGCCTCGATCCCGTCGAGCGTGAGCATGATGCCCTTGGGGGTCCACTCGTCGGACTCCTCGGTGACCAGGGCGCCGTCGACAAGCCGAAGGGCCTTGCCTGAGCTCGTCGACTTGTTCGCCGAGATAGTCTTCAGGTCCATCCCCGACGTCCAAGTGCGTCGGGAGACTATCTCGCCGAGGCCCAAGGGCTTGTAGTCCTTGGTCTTGGTGTGCTCGTGCCACAGTCTGGCCAGCACTTCCTCGGCGCCGAGGAGGCGCGCCGCTGGAAAGCGGCGTTTCACCCCGTCGATGGTCTTGGCCTCGTAAGCGTTGACCTGCGCCGACCATTGAGCGAAGTGCTTTGGGGGGCGCTCGTCGACAGCCGATGTGGCTGTT